CCCCCAGCATCCAGAACGCCATAACCGCCGAGCACCGCCGCATCATCGGACACCTGAACTCGCATCAAGGACGCAAGATCGTCAGTAGCTACCTCATTGAGCCCCGGGGCACAGAAGAAGCGAAACCTCAGCCGGCCAACGAACTTATTTTGTTATTCCTGTTGTGTAAGTTAACTTCATGTCAAAATAAACGGTTTTCGTGTAAGACACTTGTCATCTTTGTCTCCTACCGCCACCACCCACATACGGTTTGACCCTAGGTTTTCCTGACGCGCAATTAACGTATTGCCCCCAAAATCGGCGAACTTACAGAAATTGTCATGTTTCACTCTCCCTCCCCACTTCCTCAAAACTAATATGCATTGCCTCTCTAGTTCAGATCCTGGGTACACCCTTGCATATACTATATATGAACTTTTGTCATGCATTCAGAAAAATGTTAGAAAGTTGTCTGTATATGAAACGAAATGGAAATACACTGGAAATTTAATAAAAGTAATTTTAATTTGCAAGAAATAATATGTTTGTTACTTGTTCAGTTCAAAACAAGTTGAAATCGAAGCCCTTCTGCATTGTTGCAGAAAGCATACCAAACACACAGTTGCCACCATGGTAAATGAACAAACTAAGTATTACTGTCATTTATTCTAATTACAAAGACTGTATCTTCCAATGTACTTATAAAATTCAGTTTCTTGCAGTTTTTGAAAAAAGTAGGTTTTCTAGACATCAGCTCTTTTTGAATTGACAGATTCAATTATTATACTATATATTATTTACACAAACTGTTACCCAATAAGTAAAATTACAGGAATTAAACAAGTATTACTAGTCCGGTATAATTATGTTAAGTATTATTATTGGAAACAATATAGGATGTTAGCTACTATGTTTACTCAGTTTAATTAATGTACCTTTTAATAATAGTGAAATTTAAATAATGCTAATGTTTTTAGGTCATTCTCATGCGTAGACTGTTGAAAGTGGAGTGCCTTTCCACTATATTTCCAAGGGTATTCCACTTTCAAACTGTCACACTACATTTTCAGTTATTTTTAATACTTTTCATCCTCTTTTCTGTATTTTAGATTCTCTTGTTACCATGTTATCTTTCCATTCTGTGGTTATATAAATTTTATAAAATTTTATTAATATTCCTGTAGGAAAACGATACGAACGTAAGATCAAGAAGATTGCCACCACGGACATCAAGAAGATTGCCGTCAGCATCCAATCTCAGCCATCACATTAATCACTTGGAGGTCCGGCCCCCAGTCAGTAAACTTAATCCTAATTTGGCCCTTCTTCAGAAAAGGTTGTGCATCCCTGGATTAATTGACTTTTACTGTATTATATTTTTACTTATTTAATAGAAACCCACCAAAACAAATATTTGTGAGATATACAAAAATAGTTTCAAGTATCCTTCTCAGCTAAATGCTCATAAAAAAAAGCATTCAAACATAACACACAACTGTATTATATGCTGTAAATCCTATAAGTACTTACATACTTTAGAAAGACATATGAACACCAAACATTCAACTGAAGTGGTAGGTAATAATGTTATAAAGTTAAAAATATATTAAGTAATTTTATAAAATTTTATTAATCTTCCTGTAGGAAAACAACGAAACAAATGTAAGTAATATTCTTAAAAAGTTAAAAAATATAACATTTAACAAAAGGAAAAATGGCAAAATTAGACTGTGCGTGGACTTTAGAAAGTTGAATCAGAAAACGGTCAGAGATCACTTCCCCTTGCCTTTGATTGAGGATGTGATAGATCGTTTGGAACAATCAAAAGTGTTCACGTCGCTCAATTTAAAAAATGGATTTTTCCATGTTGACATTGATGAGAAATGTAGAAAGTATACATCTTTCGTTACACACGAGGGCCAGTATAAATTTCTAAAGGTTCCTTTTGGCTTGTGTAATAGTCCAAGTGTATTCCAATGTTATATTTACCATGTGTTTAGACCAGCGGTCAGGGAACCGGGGTAAATTACCCCAAATGGGTTAAAAATGAAACTTTTGTGAGTAAAAAGTATATATTTTTAATTTGCTGTTTTATAAACCTGTTAGTATTTTTTTCAACTTAAACAATTTAGCGACATATGCAGGCCACGCCATCTCACTCCCCACCACTAGAGTGTGCTCGAGTTATATCTTTGCGCAGTAAAGCNGAGTGGTAAGACTCTAGTATCACTTACTCAGCAACTATTCTCTAGAATAGCCCTCTGTTTGTCTTACAAGGATGGTTTTTCTATTCAAAGAAATAGAGTGTGGAGGGCTTTAACTAATATGTTAAATTAAAAGTGGAATTTGATGATCACATAATCACCTTTTCCTTACGTCAGGAGTCTCAACACAAGTTAATCAATTATTTTATACACGGATTAACACATGTTATCCCTAAACTCGTGAATATCTAACATTAATATTGAAGAAGCCATATTTATATAACAAATCAAAATATTTAATGGATCAAAAATATGAAATTATACAAAAGAATGAATCTAAACCTAATCTTAATCCTAAATCTTAACCTAAGATTATCTCTAAACCTAACGCGTGAGAGAGAGTTCACAACAATCTATCTCTGGTCATATTACCTTCTTCTTTAGGTCTTTTGTATCTTTTTCTATATCTATTATATTTTTCTATATCTATTTTCTATATCTTCTTCCTTCCTTGATTATTTCTCTTCTAATATTTTCTTTGGGAAGTCCTTTTAAGTCTTCTCTTGTATACTTCTTGTATATTTCGAATGTAGTACTGTACTATGTTTTATGACTTTCTTTCGGATTCTTATAACAGCCTTGTATGATGATATCTTATCTCGCATGTCGGACTTCTTGCATGTGGCAACCTTTTTCCAACAGACTGCCTTTCGTATATCGGATTTACCTGCATGGCAATACCTTGTTCCAACAGACTGCCTCGATGGGCGGGAAATCGTCCCTTTTATTTTCTCCTCAGTAACGTGTGCAAAAGCTCGACTCATCATGAGTTGGCCTGGGAAAGGAAATCAACTTCCTTTCAAAATCAGATGTTTTTCCGTTTTTTAGAAACTTGTTAAAGTTGAAAAACACTAATTTCTCTATTTTTCTCTTCTTCTTCTCAACTTTGAGAATTTTCAGAATGACCCTCTCTGAATTCTCACAATATAATGAAAAAAGAAATCATGAGTGATAAGTCCATATTAACTTATCGAAAGATACATGGTAACAAGAAAATCTAAAATACATTTTTAATCATTAACTGCTTAATATCATAATAAACTTTATTGACATACTTAAATATTTAAATAATCTAATAAAATAAAATTGTGCATTAATTTAAAGAATAAATTAATGTACAACACTAATATGGTAAATTTTTATGTTGTTCAAATAGAATGAAATGTGTTTGTATATACAGTATAAAATTAAATAAAAATTGAATATTATTTATAAAATGCTATAAAACTTTAATTTTAGGGATATTTAAACCTACTTCTGGAACAATATTAATTAATGGGAAAAATATTGTAACAGAAACATCAAAAGCTCGAAAAAATCTTGGACTTTGTCCTCAGTTTAATATATTTTGCAGTTCTCTCAATGTAGAAGAAAATTTGAAATTTTTTGCAGGTGTGAGTATTTAAAAAATATATATATAAATAAATTTTAAATGAAATATTTTATATAAATAAATAATGATTATATCTGTTTAATATAATAAAACAAAGCACTGTTTTACTGGAGTTCATTTTATTAACAAGTCTCTCTCCAGTACTTTCAGCAATCAAGCATTGTCAGGAGATGCACAATGAATAAACTGATTAGTTATCACTTAGTTTACACAACTACTAGATGTTACATAAACAATCTATAACTGCTGAAAAGCACCCCTAACTATGCTACTTCCATGCTACATTTCTAACAGATCGTTGCAACACCTCTTCCATATTTTATGTACAACATTTCTTACTTGCCAATTGCATTTTCAAATCAGTGAAAAAATTGTGACTATAAATTAAAAAAATCATTGAACCTGAATCATTACTTTCACGTCCTACAAAAAGTCCCACCTTAGTCTTAAGAACTACATATCTATTAATAACAGGTTTTATTTATCACTATTTGGTAACATTTTACAGTCTCTGCCATTAATTACTTTTTCTGTCAAACTATTTTCATATATCCATGTTTTCTCTGCAATTTCCAAGCCTCCTCTCTCTTATTTCTTTCATCATTCTTGTCCCTTTCCACCATACCTTGCCACCACACTTTTTTAAAGTCGTCTAGACACACCATGGTAGTGTTTTTTCATCCTGATATCTATGTGCCTCTAGTTTGTAGCCTTGTTGCCTCTGTCCTTTTTATAGCTTCCACATACACTTTATTTGCCCATCTCTTATCACTTAGTGGTGCAACATATACACTTGATGTGCTATTCTTTCTTGTCTTTGTCAAATTAAATAAAGTATAGTTTCTTTTAAATACAATGTTTTTTTTTTTGTCTTTTTCTTTAATTTTCTATAGAAAGGTTTTTTCCAACTTTCTACATAATGCATGCTATTTTTTCTCCTCCTTTTTTGTGTCTTACCTTCATTTCTCTTCCTAAGAACTGTTTTCACAATTTTATTAAATATCCTCCTAGTTAGACCATGGTCAAGGGCTGTCTTCTCCAGGGTTTCTAATTCCTTATCCAGCACTTTTCAGTACAAGATACATTAATGGATCCTTTGAGACTTGCATCATGTAAATTGACTTTTAAGTGTTCTTCCTATATACTGAATTTCTAAACATATGTGGGGGGACCCAAAAAAACCGGATTTTTTGTATAAAAACTTTATTTATTAACTTTTTTACAAAATTTCTTCAGTTACCTTCAAAGTATTCTCCATTAGATGTGATGCACTTGTGAAGTCTTTTTCCCCACTGTTTGAAGCATCTCTGGAAGTCTTCAACCTTGATATCATCCAGTGCCCTTAGTGAAGCTGTTTTTACCACCTCCACATCATCAAAATGCTTCCCTTTTAGATTTTTCTTAATTCTTGGAAACAGAAAAAGTCACACAGGGCTAGGTCTGGTGAATACAGAGGGTGGGGAACGANAAAACCGGATTTTTTGTATAAAAACTTTATTTATTAACTTTTTTACAAAATTTCTTCAGTTACCTTCAAAGTATTCTCCATTAGATGTGATGCACTTGTGAAGTCTTTTTCCCCACTGTTTGAAGCATCTCTGGAAGTCTTCAACCTTGATATCATCCAGTGCCCTTAGTGAAGCTGTTTTTACCACCTCCACATCATCAAAATGCTTCCCTTTTAGATTTTTCTTAATTCTTGGAAACAGAAAAAGTCACACAGGGCTAGGTCTGGTGAATACAGAGGGTGGGGAACGAAAGGCCAAATAGTGAGTCACTCGTAAGGCTGTGTGTGCGGGGGCGTTGTCGTGATGAAGGAACCAGTCACCTGATCGCCAAAGTTTCGGGCGTTTCCTTCGCACATCCCCTGGCAGACATCTTAACACTTTTTTGGCAGATTTTTTCAACGTTTTCCTCATTTCGAGATGTTGAAGGACTCCCAGAACTTTGCAGGCAGAACAAAATAACAGTAAGAGAAACACAACACTACACTCAAACATAAACCTACAAACTGACACCATTTGGACAGCTGTTTTGTGAAGGTCTCTATTAACTCCATGTAACGGGAGAACTCTCTACTACGTCTACGAATGGCAGCGTGCTCTCAGTTCGGTTTTTTTGGGTCCCCCCTCATATCATACTTTTTTCTGTCCACAAATGAATTCATAGCACAATACTAACATATAAGATGTTAATCAGTATTAAATGGATTTTATTGTAATTTATTCATTACATGAATTCTTGCAATAAAGCAAATGATTTATACTGTTGCATTAATTATGCAGTATTGGAATGAAATTTTGAAATTATAAAAAATTCAAGTACTTTTTAATCTTGATGGCTCATATTCAGTACATAAAGTATTCTAGAAAGCAAAAAGGCAAAAAAAGCAATAGTTACTTTAAATTTACTTTGTTTTTTAATTTATCTTCAGTGCACAAATTTTTCTAAAATTTAAGCACTGAAGATAAGGCAACAAGGCTGGAAAGCGTTTGGATTTTAAATATTTACAAATTTTTTTATTTCAATAAAGCCAAATTTTCTTCATGTAATGTTAGAATGGTTGATTAATATTTAAAATTGAGTTTGCAGGTATGATTGTGTAAATTTCCCATGAATCTTACTGAATAGTTCAAGAATATTTCAAAATAGTGTCTGAGGAAATAAATGGATACGAGTCTTAACACAACACACACATTTATTTGACATGTATATTAGCATGTACAGAACAGGGCCAAAAAGTGGTGGCTGCCCTCGGATTACAGTTTATACAGGGTGTCCCAACGAAAACGAAACGACAGAGATATCGCGTTCGTCCAAGCAAATCGCTCGGACAGGTCGATTTTATTCTCAAGGGGGACATCTTCTGCAATGAAGTTTTTGTGATTCTGAATACAACAGACAACAAAATTTTTAAAAACTTATTCATTTTTTATTAACTAAACAAACATTTATTTCAAATAAAGTAACACAAACTATTAAAAAACAAAAAAAACCTTTTAAGCTAGACTTTTAGTTGTTCGACAGGCGATGTTGGTCGCCATAGGAACGCTACTCGGACAACATCTGAAGACTCGACCGCTCATTGGTTAAAAGACATCACGCCATCTGCGGACGTCTTGGAGAGCTTTAGCTTAAAAGGTTTTTTTTATGTTTTTTAATAGTTTGTGTTACTTTATTTGAAATAAATGTTTGTTTAGTTAATAAAAAATGAATAAGTTTTTAAAAATTTTGTTGTCTGTTGTATTCAGAATCGCAAAAACTTCATTGCAGAAGATGTCCCCCTTGAGAATAAAATCGACCTGTCCGAGCGATTTGCTTGGATGAACGCGATATCTCTGTCGTTTCGTTTTCGTTGGGACACCCTGTATATTTGGCACTGTGCTTGAAGGGCCCTTCACAAGTCGTGGTAAAAAATGACATGACAGATTGTTTACATTTAATGTTTTGTTCTTAATTTTTTATTCACAGATACAGACACAGATGTGTATTTAGTACAGTAGAGTCTCGAAAACTCGGCCTAATGTGGACTGAAGGGTGGCCAAGTTTGTGAAAATGCCGGGTTATCGGGAATGGGGTTAAAAAAAAATAAGTATGAGTGTTTCCTCAGAAAATACTGTACTGTACTTGTATGTATTGTTTACTTAAGAATACAATAGAGAATAAACTGCCCAAATATCCTTAAACAAAGGAAAAATACATCCTTTATGAAGGCATAGTCTTTACTATATGAAAATGAAAATTAATGAATACACTGTTTACAGTAATACCTGATAGGACAGACCTCAGAAAAATACTTTGAGGCATAAAGCTGTCTATAATGAAAATTAATTAACTAAGGATTCTTTTGCCCTGCCAGGGTGTGGCCGAGTTATCCAGACTGCTGGGTTATCGAGTGCCAAGTTTTTGAGACTCTACTGTATATAAAAAAATCTCTCATAAAATTAGAGTGCAAAAAAATATAAATGTAACTATATTTAAATTTTCATTTTTGCTGCATTTTTTATTCTATCAATATTTATAAAGCTGTTCATCATGAAGACATTTATGTCAAAAATATCAGAACTATTTATGTTTCTTTGAATATTTTATGGTTATTTATTTAAACTTTTCATCCCAAAAACTACTTCCCTCTCCCCTTATATAATTAACCTAACTATAAAACATGATCTTAAACTAAAAAACATAATTAATGGACAACCATTAGTGATTAGCCATCCATTATGTTTACAGTTTTAGAGAGGGTCATGGCAAGTGCATCATTGTACATGATGGAAAGAGAGAAGATCCAAGCATTGACTGTGAGAATCTGTAGTTGAAGATTATATTTTTGACAAATTTATTTAAAATAATTGTTATAATTTTGATAAAAATTTTGTATCTACTTTTACTCAGTTCTCTACTTTTACTTGATCCCAAGAACTTTCAACTCTCCGTGTTGAATATGGGTGTATTACATGTAGCATGAATTTTAATATGTAAACTCTCTCTCATAGAAAAGCATTAGGAAATAGATTTTATCTCCTTTGGAATCATTGATAATTTTGAGGTTTACTTTTGGTCTAATACCATATTTTTATATAATGAACATTTGTATAATAACTTGGTCATCCTTTATTAATAAATTTATCTTTTAATTTATTGCTTTTGATTCATTGGTGCCTAATTCCATCGTCGGTCCACATATCCCATGTTATTAGCAATTCAATTAAAATTCTGGTCAAGTTTCTAATATACTTTTTCCACTCAGAAAGGAAATAACTCACAAGTCAGGATGCAATATAATTTATCCTAACTGGTGTCAGGACCCTTAAAGAAAGATTTCTCCAATCTTCTATTTTACTTTCCATCCTGAATATGGAACAGGGTTATCCTGGAGTCCCCAGTTCTCATATCTGTATAAAAATTTTTTATGCTAGTAGGGACATAAAAATTTCTTCTTATTACCCAACTTTTTATTTTTATGAATAAACTATCAGAAATATTTGCAGAACTTTTTAAAACCATTTCTTCAATTAGAGGAGTCCATGAAATATTCTACATGTAATTAAAAGGGAGAGGATTTGCCAAATTTACTATAGGAGGCAGTCAAAAGTGGCTCAAAAACTTTATATGTAATTAATGGATGGCCTCAAAGCTGTTTGATGAGTTTGTAATTGCAATATAGTCAGCATGTAACCTTGCCTATTGCATAACCCACTCCCCTTTCAGATTGTCTTTTAAATACAGATAATCTGTAGGTTATTTGCATGAAATCATGATAATATAACTTTTGTTGTAAAAATTTTATAAAAAAATATATTTAAAAAATTTTGAAAAATTCATTTTTTATTAAATTCTTTAACTTATATGTATATATATTTTTTGTTTTATTTATTTATTAGCTTAGGAATATGAGTTTGTCAGATATAAAATCAAATGTAAATGAAATATTAGATTATCTTCAGTTACAAGACGTGAGAAACGTTATGACAGAAAAATTGTCAGAAGGAATGAAGCGTAAATTATCAATTGGTATTGCAGTTGTTGGCGGTTCAAAGGTATTTTCTGTTTCTTTTTATTATGAAATTATTAAAGTCTACTCTTTGATATTTGTAATGTATAGTGTAAAATACATATAAATTCTAAATAATTTAAAAATTATTTAGAATTTATTTCTTTTATAATATGTAAATTACCATATAAATAAGTTTTATATAGGGTGTTCCAAAAGTTGCAATATGTAGGAAAATTGGATCATCGGTTTCCAAGTTCATGGATTGGTTGTCATAGTTCCATGAAGTGGTCTCTGAGATTTGCAGATCTTAATCCTTTTTATTTTTATCTGTGGGAGCAGATACACCAATACAAATAAAAGCTTTGGTATATCAGGAAAAGATTCAAAACACAGATCATCTAAAGCAGGGGTTGCCAAACTTTTTTAACCATTCACTTTCCAAAGCCTCATGTTGAACCCCACCGTAGTTTTATTACAAGCGTATATGTATGAGCGAAAAAAAAAAAAAAACATTGTGGGTTGTGGTCTCTGTCTAAGAAAAAAAAAAAAAAGGTTGTGATCCCTTAGCCGCATCGACCCCCTAATCAACCCCCTAGCCGCATTGACCCCCCCAATGATGTTGCATCAACCCCTGGGGGTCCATATCGACCACTTTGGTGACCCCTGATCTAAAGGAATGCATTCAAAGTTTATTTAGGTGTGTTAAGGTCAGTGCAGATAATTAGAATGAAAACAGTCAAATTGTGTTGTTTGAAGTGAAACTTTTATTCTAACATATAATGGTTTGTTATTTACAAAGTAAAATCTGAATACGTAAATAAATGCCCTAGAACAATGGAATAAAGGTGATCACAATTAGCCATCTAAATACTTGTCAGTATGATGGCATGAGATCAAACAAATTGGATCATGAATGCACATGATTGGAAGTAAGATTTGATGATACTTTCTAATGGTTCATATGCAAGTAAACTGTTTATATTATTTGAAAACACATAGAATTAAATCTCAACATGCTCAGAGAGAATTTGTATGCACACCCATGGGCATAGCCAGAGATGGGCAACCCAGGCCATGGCCCCCAAATCTTAAAAAATTACAAAAAATAATTTCAAAACTCAAATGTCGACCAACTATTCAAATTCTAGCACAAGCAAAAGAACATCATTCTCTTGTACCATTTGGAACATTCTGCTATGACAGTATAGGTTGAGCTAGGAGTTTGAGCAGAACCTGGATCTTAACATAATCCCTCAATGTCTTCTAGATGCTTACTCTTTATATTGCGCAAGTAATTTTTGAGTCATCACTGTGGCAGTATAGATGTATTCATATCTGCCAACATGAGCATTCAAAGAGGCATGAGGTAGCAGTAATAGTCATTTATATCCAGCAGTTTGTACAGAAGAGACCACTCATGTATGCTTGCCAACTTTTAAGATCAATTTATCCTATGTCAGGAAGATCCTATGGGCTGTCCATATGTGAGTGGTGATGCTGGAGACACATATATCCTTACAAAAACCCATTTATTATAATAAATAATTAGCTTATACAAATGTTTGGATAACTGGAAGTTTGCCATCGAATGAAGATGTTCTAATGACTAGCACAGTCCGAGGTTGATGAGACATTCAGTTCCATCGAATGAAGTTAGCACAGAAGTTTGATAATGGCTGTGGGCCAGAGATGATGTAGGAGATATGGCCAGCTTAGTTACAAGTTCTTCAATGTTGTATGAGTCAAGATAATCCTTGGAGGATGTGACAGATCGCACCTTCTCTGCTTCTCAACCTTGAGATTCAGGGATTTTATAGTATTTCTCCCTCAAATCTCACCTTTTTGATTGGTTCTAGTTCCCTTATTTTGCTTTCTCATTGGTTTCTCTTCTTTCTCTAGGTGAAGTCTGAGAGCAGTTTGGGTCGCAAGAAAGGTCTGTTTGGGATGGTCTATCCGACACTGTCCCTTGACTCTGACCAGGAGGTGTTGATGGAACCTAGACTATTCTTATAACATTTTAGAATTTGAACAGTCTGGCATGATCTTTGACCATTGAACCTTCCCCTTTTCACAATTTCTTAATCTATTTCAATTGTATATGAGTATTTGTGTCAGAGTTCATCTCTCAGTTTGACATTGACAGATAATTTAACTCATGTAAGTCATCCCAGGATCCATTGTTTACCTTTTGTGCTGCATTGTTTAGACAAATGGTTTTTTTTTCTCTCTCTCTTTTGTAACCTTTTGTTGTAATCTTTTAGACACAAGAATTCTGCAATTTACACAATTTTAGACCTTGTCTGGAACCTCACACTCATTATTTCTGGTATTAGTCACTTTATTGTTCATTACAGATGAGTTAAAGTAAATACAAACAATACAACTCAAACATTCTCAAAGAACAAAGTAAGAAAACTTACTCTCATCTTTTTGCCAATTACGCAAGATGATCATAGTTGTCTTCCAATCAGCAGCACCCAGCTCATCCAGGTAATTCTAGATTTTCTGAGGAAGGCCTTTTCTATATTGTCTCTACATCCATGTCTCATGCTACATTCAATCAATGAAGATTTGAATCATAGAACGAGATGTTTGGTTTAATTTTATGAACTAGAGAGAATTGAGTCTGAAGCTGAGTTGTAGTATCATATATGGAGCAAGGAAAACCTTGATTGACAGGCTTTTGGAAATAGTTGAAGTGATTAAAAAGTTCATATTCTTTCCCACCACAAAAATGCCTTATAATCTCAATATTTTAGCCTTGTTCCTAGAGTAATATTGAAATGTTGTTTAGCACCTTAAGATATTTTAAAACGTAATTGAGATTAACGATGACAGAAAATCACTTAAGGATTTTGGCAAATATTTCTAATGTCTCTAGGATTCAAATTTTGCAGTTATCAGGTATATATTTTATGATTTTGGCTTTCTTTCATTTTACTATTATATATGGTTCCCTAGTCTATTGTGGTAGGGCAGTATTGAGTTTACTGTTCTGAGCTCTAGGAACTTAGATAGATGGCACTTTCTAAAAGAGGAAGTCTCAACACACAAAAACACAGTTCTGACTTAATAGAGGGTACATAGATTCAAAATTTAAAATTGTTATATGTTCATACTCTGTTAATGCAATACCCTCTAATTTAGCAATGAGCTCTCTGGGATTGGAAATGGTATAGTTATACCTTTTTAGATGGTCAGTTAAAATTAAAAGTAAAAAAATAAAATTAAAAAAAAACTAGCCACTAAAATTTTCAAATCCTGGCAATAAATAATATAGCATCATTATGCTTAACTATTCTTCATTTATGTTAATATTCAGGTGCAGATTTAGCTGGTGTGAAGGTACAGCTGCATTTTCTTTCTGGAGTTCTTTTCAAATAAAGCTGGGTACCTCAGTAGTAAAAAGTTTTGTAAGGTATATTATTCTCTTTCTGCACTCTCTTTAAAGATTTTTGGATCTGCTATTATTAATATCCAATTCATCTAGTTTATCTGCAGTATCCATGAATTTATTTACATGGTCTCTGACATCATCATCATTTTTCATTTTAAAAAAGAAGTAAATTTTTTTTAACAATGTAACCTTTCTTTCAGGCACTTTGCTTAATTAAATATTTTTAAAGGTGTCTCCAACCTCTTTCGATGATTACAGTGCTTAACTTGTTAGTTTTTTAGGGGACATGATTAACACCAAATATCATCTTGCGTTCAAATCCTATTGAATTCATTTTGTAAGTTTTTTGTGATATGTGCATTCTGGGCTCATCACCACTGATATACTTCCATAGATCATTTCTATATATCCTGCACCTGTATCTTCCATATATCATAATTATCTTTTTTTAATGGTTTAATTTGTGGTTGTTTTTCTGTCATCTTGATTTCTCTAATATCATCATTTTCCATTTTTATCTTCTGTTTATCACAATTCACTATGACTGGGCCCATAACCTATTTGAATATAAAATTCATACAGCTACTTAAACAAGAAGCACCTTAATTTCTTCTACTGATACATTTTTTCCTGACAAGACCTAATATACAAGGGGGATTCAAAAAAACCGAACTGAGAGCGTACTGCCATTTGTAGACGTAGTAGAGAGTTCTCCTGTTACATGGGGTTAACAGAGACCTTCACAAAACAGCTGTCCAAATGGTGTCAGTTTGTAGGTTTACGTTTGAGCATAGTGTTGTGTTTCTCTTACTGTTATTTTGTTCCACCTGCAAAGTTCTGGGAGTCCTTCAACATCTTGAAATGATGAAAAAATCCACCAAAAAAAGTGTTAAGACGTCTGCCAGGGGATGTGCGAAGGAAACGCCCGAAACTTTGGCGATCAGGTGACTGGTTCCTTCATCACGACAACGCCCCCGCACACACGGCCTTATGATTGACCCACTATTTGGCCTCTCGGAGTTGGCCTGTTGTTCCCCACCTTCCGTATTTACCAGACCTATCCCCGTGTGACTTTTTTCTGTTTCCAAGAATGAAGAAAAATCTAAAAGGGAAGCGTTTTGATGATGTGGAGGCAGTAAAAACAGCTTCATTAAGAACACTGGATGATATCAAGGTTGAAGAGTTCCAGAGATGCTTCAAACAGTGGGGAAAAAGACTTTACAAGTGTGTCGCATCTAACGGAGAGTACTTTGAAGGTGACTGAAGAAATTTTGTAAAAAAGTTAATAAATAAAGTTTTTATACAAAAAATCCGATTATTTTTGGGTCCCCCCACGTACAGTACATCTCGACACCAAATATAAAAATTTATGTCAACTATGACAAGGGCCATAAGAGCAATGATATAAAGGAATAGAAAATGACTTTAAAGCAAAAACAAAAGAATTGAGAAAAAAAAGGGAAACTAACAAATAAATTTGTTATATGAAAATCATCACATGTTCTTGTTACTCTCTTAGCAAAAGTGTATAGATACTGCCAGTAATTTATTTTGAAAAACACTTCAAAAATACCTTAAAAATTGCATTAATCACTTTAATCTCTAATGTGTTTGGACATATTTAACCAACTTTTCTGATTTATTTTGCTTAAAATGGTAAATCGTTTCTTGTATTTTGCAACTTGTAAATGTATTTTTAATGCAACTTGTAGCTGCTTATAGTTAGGTCTATCTCATATTGAGATTAATGTGGAGGTTATTGTGTAATTGCTTATCCTCTGAAGAGCCAGCTGAAGCTGTTTTGCTTGACTATACGAAATGAAGAGCTGGGAAAATGCCATCTGGGAGGTCTTTTAAGGGTAACTGGCCCCTATTTAGGCATTAGAGACCTACGTCTCTAATATCTAAATAGGGGCCATGAAAACCTGGAACCTGGAAAACCCCATGTAGCTAGCACATCCTGGCAAGGTATAAACCTACAATCAAACTACCAGTGTTCAGGGAATGGAACTGCTTGTCTACTGGGGGCCTTATAATTTGGTCAAAGCATTCTAGCCCTTATATATTCAATTAGCCAGAACATTATATGATTCTTAATTTTAATTATAAATTTTTGAAAATAAAATTTTTAGAAATAATATAGATTTTTACACTATTTTTATATATAATTATTTTTCCTTATATTTGTTTGCTATTAGACATTTTTTCATTTTATAATAAATTATTTAATTATTTTTGTAAATATTTGAAAATTATAAATGTTTCATAATATTTATAAATATTTAGTTATTAGTATTAGACGAACCAACTTCTGGAATGGATCCACAGTCTAGACGGGTAATTTGGGAGACAATTTTGAAGTTGCGTAAAGGACGTACCATACTTTTAACCACTCATCATATGGAAGAAGCCGATGCACTTGGTGATCGCATAGCAATTATGACAGAAGGATCTATTAAATGTTTTGGATCCTCTGTATTTTTAAAAAAAAAATTTGGTATTATAAATTTAAATTTATTTTCAATAATTTGTATCTTATTAGATTTATAAAAAAAATTTTATTTAATTAGGAACTGGCTATCATCTTCATGTTACAAAATCTGATATTTGTCAGATTGATGAGATTACTAAAAGAATTAAAATTCATATACCAGAGGCAAATATGGTCAGCAATTTTGATCAGGAATTGATTTATTCTCTCTCTTTCTCGTCGGAAAATTTTCCCGAGTTATTCAAGTCTTTGGAAAATTCATATTCTGAATTAGGAATTACATCATGTGGGATTACTGTAACGACTATGGAAGATGTATTTCTTAAGTAATAAGATTTTAATATTATATTTTAAAACTTTTTCAAATTAATTAAAGTAAAATATTTTTATAGAGAAATATAAGCTGTAGTAATATAAAATTTTTTGAAAAATATTTATTTTATTTATTTATTTTCAATTACAATAGAAAAAGTTTTGTGACATTAGATTTCCACCTTTTCTTAACAATAAAACCTTGATTAAAATACATAAAAAAGTGATGTATTTTGCTTTGTTGAATTTTATTCAAGTAGATAGTAGAAAAATATTTTTATTTTAAATTAAGAATTGTATAATAATTGTTTATAGGCCTTTTGAAGTGGATTTAATCAATGTGAAATAAATATTCAGAATTAACAATATTTTGTGAAATGTGGTAAAAAAAATTTTTCAGAAAAACATAATTTTAAAATGTATGTAGATGCTTGAAAAACTGCAAGTATTACATAAGGGAACTTTTAAGCTAAGACAATCAAACATTACATAATCATTGTAGTACTTGAGCAGGGTTACAACCTGCTATGGTCCCAAGCAGTTATGCTCAAGAGCTGCAAGGATCAAAAAATCGTTTTCATATGGGAATCTCTCCTTACTACCACCTTGGACACTTGCAACACCCTACGCTCGATCTTCCCAGTGTATGGGTCACGCTATACAAGCGTTTAAGCAAATATTAGCATTCTCCAGTATGCATATAGCGTGAGCCTGGTTCTGCACATGCGCCAGCTCGCACTTCACGGAGCTAACTACTCGTTCGGTTTTCGAATTATATTTGAATATTTGCTTTGTGTTCTTAATGGCTTTGACAAAGTTTCAACTTACATTTTATGTGTTCTATTCTACATTGGATTATTTCCATTTAATTTTTCGGTAAATCTCTGTATTCGCCTGAGGACGACAACTATAAGTTCATCAAATGTGCTTGTGATGATTAAAAAAAAAAATAGTATGCATGTAACGCTGAACTCAGTGTCTTTAGTTTATTATACAATATTTTGGCATGATAGTCATCCAATTGATTAATATACCTTCATATAAAATTTCTAGAAATGATAACTTCATTAATTGTTTTAATCATTGTTTAAGTTTATTTGTATATTTAAATTTAATATACAAAAATATTCAAAGAAATCACATACACATCATAGTTTTCAGATATTTTATTTTCATATAATATATGAAATTTGATAATTATGCATCATTCTTTAATTTAAAAGTAATATAAAAACTAAAACTATAGCTAGGATATGATAATAGTAATTTATTAACAAACTACACAAACTACAATGCTTGGGCAAATATGAATTATAATTTGTAAATAGAATAAAAACTGTGATTCACTCACTGAAACTGAAGGTTTTGCTTTTTAATATAATCCACCTAGTTTGCAATGCAATTATGCCAGCAGTCCAGAAGCTTACAAATGTCACTTAGGAAAAAGTCTTTTGGTTCAGGCATAGCCATTCCTGAATAGCCTATATCATATCCTCATTACTGACAAATCTTTTTCTGCCCAGATATTTCTTTAGAATATCTAGAGAGAAGAAGAAATAACAAATAGAAGTTTGGTTCAGGTATTTTGCAAAAGTATCACATAACTTCAAAAAATAAACTGCAATTTTTTAAATAAAATTCTGTATTAGAACACAAATACGTTTTACTAAAGTAAAATTCAATTTTATTTGATTTGACATTTTTCAGATATTATGATGATAAAAGGCATTCGAAATTCATTATGAGTTTAAACTTTTTTTTGCAAATATCACATTTTTAGAATACTTTCTGGTGTATTTTTTTCATAAAATTTGTTTAAAAATTATTTTTTATCTCGAATTTTATACACAAATTAATAATTGTCATATTAAAATTTATTTTTGTTATTTAAACAGTATTCAAAAGCTAGAAGATAATGCTCCAGATACATTCAATTGCTATGAAAATGGATACTTATCTGAATATCAAGAAGAAAGTATGTTTTCTTTTTTTCCCATTACAATATATTGCATTGTTTTTTAAATAACAATACATTTTATTTATTTTTAGACATAAATCTCATGTGTTCTTCCAAGTTATCTGGAATAAAATTAACATTGCAACAATTAAAAAGTCTGTTGATTAAAAGATTTCATTATACAAGACATAATTATTTTCTTTTGATATTTCAAATTCTTTTGCCATTTTGTTTAATTACTGTTCTAGTTTTGATAGATATTCTATTTTTTTCTAAAACTAAAGATGAAGCAATTGTCTTAGATTTAAAAACTCTTTTTGGCAACACAGATGCATTTTATATTAAGAATTCAGAGAATTCAATAATAGATGTATTGTCAGACAATTACAAAAAAGTCCTTGAAAGTGAAAATGCAAATATTAAACAAACAAAAAATGCTACACAGTATTTCTTTGAAAGAACAAAAGATCTTAAACATTATATAAAAAAAGATCTTGTAGGTGCAAGTTTTTCAGGGAATGATTCAGAAATTAATATTACTTCTTGGTATAATGGAATAAATTATCATTTGGAATCAATTTCGTTTAATTTATTAACATCATCTCTTTTGAGATTTGTTACAGAGGATGATAAATCAAATATAGAAATTATAAATCATCCATTTAATTTTCAAACAGATTTAGAAACGTATATAAAAAATGATTTTAAATCTAAATTGAGTTCCCAATTTTTAGTTAGTTTGGCATTGACATTTTTATCATCAGTTTTTGTAATATTTCCTCATCATGAACGAATTTCAAAATCTAAATTGTTGCAAAAGATATGTGGTATCAATGGCTTTATTTATTGGATGATGAATTTTGTTTGGGATTTTATTATCGTTATAGTTTCCACTATTTTGTTATTGTTACCATTAATTATATACAATGGTCTACAATCAACTATAGATGTAAATGGCGAAGCAATTGGTGAGTATATAATTTTATTAATATAAGTATGCATTAATAATTTATTTTAAGTCTTTGATCATATTTATGTATAAAATATCACATTTGTACACTAATTTTAAATTACAGTAGAGCCTCGATTACCCGACCCCCGATTAACCGATACTTCGGTTAACCGACCATCCTAGTCGGCAAATTCAAATGTCTACTAGTGATGTGGCGCTACAATATTTGGCTATGTCTTGGCTACTTTAATATTATTTTTACGTGTTTAGCTGGCAACACTCATTCGACCATGAAAGGGAGCCAGTACTTAAACGAGGCTTAATTTTCTAATTTTTAACGATACAATAGCGACGATTATTATTTAAAGAAATTTTTGTTAGGCTTAACATTGATGAAAATTCAACGCGAAGTAGGTTAATAGCAATATACTAATATACTAATTACATGGGATACAATAATATACTACACTAATAATGGATTTTTTCATACTTTTCGGTTATCAGACTTTTCAATTATCCGACCAACCCCAGTCCCCAATTGAGTCGGATAATCGAGGCTCTACTGTACTAATTTAGGTTATATATAATGCACCTTTAACAGTGGGTGAAGTTTAAAGAATGGTGTTTAGTCATGTTAGTGGGACATCTTCAGGAATGGACAGTTGTAAGTGGAAAATTAATTTCACTTTCAGCTGTCAATGCCTGAAAATGTCCTGTTAACTGGATTGAACACAGAATTTTTTAAACTTCACCCACTGTAAAAATTACATTGATTAATTCACTGGAGTAACTACAGGTAATTCATCCTTACATTATGTATATCAGAAAATTTCTAAATTGTTTAGTGAAAGATAAACCACTATATACAGGAATTATTAGACCTTGTTGTATCCTCTTCACTTCTAATAACCCTTACCAGCAATTCTTCCACTTTTGGAAACACTGCTGGAATTCTTTTTTTGGAATTGTGTATAACTTTGCATAAAATTTGTTTTGATACCCTCAATGTGTTAGACTGGATGTTGCTTTTCGGAGATTAGGGAAACTAGTTAGACTTGTATAACTGGTTACATGATACAAAAGATAACACTGACTTGACTCACAGAAAATTAGCATTGAAAAGGGGAGAGTAAAATGAGATCACCATCTGTAATGTTTGATTACACTGACACGTTTAATAATAAGTCGAGTATTATTAGTGACTGAATATACTTTATTGCTCGTAACACAAAGAACAACGTACAGGCAGGAGTCACTAGCAGGAGGTCTCGTACAAAAATGGTTCTGGCGGGAAGGTAGACAAAGGATATATTCCACATGCAGTAGACCAGACTAAGCGCCATCAGGCAACCTGTCTAATCGACACACATGACACTGTTATCAATGGTTCCTGAGGGGTCAACAGCACCACCAACCTTTTATTATGTAACAGGATAAATATTTACAAACATCACTGTGGCACAATGCATTATACTGTACATACCAATGTCTTATAATATTTAACAATAAATTCAATCATTGATTCCAACACAATGGACTCAAAATATTGAACTTTCAGTGGAAATTTTTGCTTTTGGGATCAAAAAAGAGTCTGCTGGTGCTAGAATTTGTTAATAAGGAAGACAGCATATTTACAATTACCACTCAACAGTGCAATAGAGACCATGCTGATTAGTAGATCAATTTTGGCAATTGTTGATATCATGCTTCAATGTTATATTTAAATATTTAAAATATCTATTTAAATAATTTATTAATTAAATAAGCAATACAAAATTATATTTATAAATAGAAGGATTATTTTCATTCTATTTTAAATTGTCAAGCACACAATAACTGTTGTTTCAAAGTTAATGGTTGACCTTTTTCCACTTAAATATTTAATTCTGTATCCAATTCAACTTAAAATAAGTTATGTAATCCAAATTTATAAATTCTATATTGAATGTAAAACTCTTGATCAGAATATAATTTGAAATAATTATTTTGATCTTGGATTATTCTTTTCTTTTGTAGTTATTGAAATGAATAAATCTAAAATATAAACATTGTGATGTTTGAAGCGATGTATATGTGGTTCTGTGAACAGGAATACATAAAAGAAATTCAATACAGTAAGGTATATAACACAAATCAATTTTATTTGCTTCGAATAGGTTCAAATAATAACAATTCCAACTCACAGGCAGTAATTAAGCGTATACAACAATCAAATGGTTCTTTATATGATCGAGCCAACCAAGATGTGACAATATTAGCACGAGGGCTTATAACTATGACTTAACCTAAATATAAAGTAAGAAGGAGAAAAAGAATATATGGTAAAAATAGAAGAAGGGAAAGAAAGAAGCACCCAGGGATTTTTAGTCACGTGTCAGGTGGGCCACCATTAACCAATATTCAGTTGATTTCTGCACTTATCTGTATTGTTCTTCTCTACTGTACCAGTCCACTATCATTTGAAGTTTTCTTATAATTACTTTACTCTGGATTCCTTGATGAGAAAATATTAGCTTTTGGAAAAACACCTCTGAACTTTACTCTTTATGTTACAATTCAGGAGAAACTATGAAAGCTGACTCAACTCTATTGGATTAGGTTCTCTAGCTCTTTTCATAAGTCTTCGTTGCCCCTGATCTCTCCACCCATAACCAAGAACACAACTCTATGATGCTTCCTCTTGCGTTGAGATCTCGACCAAAACTACACTTTTTTGCTCTTTTAAACCCCCTGGGGTTCATTATCTCCTTTGTCTTACCACGTCCTTTCTGAAAATCAGTGATCCCACCCGAGGGAAAAAGGATTAAGAAAGAAAGTTCTAGAATAGTGAAGACAAAGAACAAAGAAAACATTAAGCCTAAAATATAAAATATACACTATACATTAATATGGCTGACGGCCACAACATGAAATTTATTCTTAATCAAATTTCTTGGAAATAACAGAGGAAGATGAAAGAGAAAGTTGCAACAAACACCTGTCACTGCACATATCTAGGTTATTGATCTAAAAATAAGTTTATAATCTTTGTCTAAACCAAGATTTATAATAAAATGTCATTGCAATAATGTAGTTTTTTGTGATCCAAGGTTTCAATAAATTTTAAACTGTGGTTGAGTCTAATAACCATCCTGCAATTCACCCTGCAATTCACCCTTTAGGTTTTTTAAAACTCTTTTTGCTCTATAGACACTAAAAAGGTCTGTTTTAGCAAGTCCATCATGAGTTTGGCAGGTCCACAATGGGGCATTCAGATGGGAGATGAGATCCAATATACCCAGACAGGCCCACATCAAAAAATTCATTGGGTTTTTGACCCCCAGAGTGGTAGGCTGCCATTCTAATTATTCAGCCACCCTGCTGCCTAACCACTCTTTAGAATTTGTAACATTTATTGTTACAATCTTAAACATATTAATTGATAAATATTTCTATGCATTTGTAGCTAGAACTATTTTAAGATGATCAATACAAAACCTTCCTCACTTATTTCTAGCTGTTTATATACGAGTACGAACTACGAATATGAGGCTGTCATGATAAATATTATAAAAATATTTGAAAAAGATAATTTAGTGTAATGCTCATAAATTGATACATGTTTTTGTATATAACAATCAATTTAATTTTTAACAATTAATTCATTTTTTATATTTTTAGGTTTCATGCTTATAATTTTATTATTATATGGTTGGGCATCAATTCCCTTTTCTTATTTAATATCACATTTGTCAAAAAGTGTATTCACCAGTTTTATTATAAGCATTTTATTTAATCTGTTTACTGGTAAGTATAAAGCATAAATTTTATCATTTATATATAATGTATACTGCATAAAACATCTCATGAAAATATTTTTAATATAATATAATGATAAAATTTGACTTAAACATTTGGCTAAACAACAATTTAAAATTATTATTATTGTGTTGGGTTTAGTGGGTTACTCTGTTCACACTGGTGGCTGTGTACTATGCCAGACCAGAGTCAAGGCATAGCAACCAAAATAAAAATTAAATAAGTGTGTCAGTGTCTGTGTTCAGGAATTTCCTAACAATGTGGCATGTATTCAATATAGTGGTCTTCTGTAGTGTGATGTATGTATTTCTATTCAATTGTAATGTTCCCAGGCTTTTGTGTAGTGTTTCTGGTATCACACCTGTACAGGAGAGAACGACAGGTACAATAAGCACCCTATCCATCCTCCACAGATGCCTTATTTCCTGGGTGAGTTCTGTGTACTTGCTAATTTTTTCAGTGCATGTGTTTTGTACATTGTGAGTGTTTGGAATGGCTATGTCTATAATGGATGTGATTTTATTGTGCTTGTCAATGAGTATGATGTCTGGTCTGTTGTGGTAAATTGTTTTATCTGTGATTATGGCTCTGTTGTAGTACAGTTTGTGCGTGTTGTTTTCCAATACTGTCTGTGGAATATACTTGTTGTATGGTTCATGGATGTCTACCAATTTGTGTTTCTTTGCAACCTCTTGGTGTATTATATTTGCTACTTGATTGTGTCTATGTAAGTAATCTGTCTGTGCCAAGAGCTTGCAACCAGAAGTGATGTGTTGTATAGTTTCTGGCATGATGTGACATTTTCTGCATGTGTCATTTGTGAGTGTTGTATCTTTGAGTAGGTGTTTTCTGTAGTTTTTAGTATTTATGACTTGATCCTGTATGGCAATCATGAATCCTTCCGTCTCCCCAAAGAGGCATCCCCAATCTAACCAGCTGTTTGACGCAGTTTTGTCAACAAAATCCTGGGCCAGGTCATAAGGATGCCTGCCATGGAGTGCCTTTCGAGCCCACGATTGCTTGATGGTGTCTATGCTTTTTATGTGTTGTGTCATGTCTGTATGATGTGAGTGTAAGTTTAATGGTGTGTTATTTGAGTCTGCTAGAGTTACTGCTTTATGTAACTGTGATGTTTCTTGTTTCTTGTAGAAAAACTCTCGCAGTGACTGTATTTGTTTGTAGTGAAGGTTAACTATGTCAATCAGGCCACGTCCGCCTTCTTTACGTGGAAGGGTTAATCTTTCTGTGGCGGATTTAGGATGATGTTGTTTATGCTTAGTAAGTGTTGTTCTTGTTTTCCTTTGGAGTTGCTCGAGATCTGTGTGAGTCCAATGTATAACTCCAAAAGAGTATGTGAGTACTGGGATGACATATGTGTTTATTGCTTTAACTGTGTGTTTTGCATTTAACTGTGTTCTAAGTATAGCGTTTAACCTACTTTGGTATTCTTTAATTAATCGTTGCTTTATTTGTGTATGTTCTGTTAGTTTGGCCTGTTGGAATCCTAAGTACTTGTAGAACTCGCCCTCTTCCATGGATTCAATAACGTCTCCATTTCCAAGTGCAAAATCTTCTTTCTTCAGGATTCCTTTTTCTATGTGAAGTTTTTTGCATTTGTCTAGGCCAAACTCCATTTGTATGTCCTTAGTGTATGAATGTGTGATTTGTAGGAGTTGATGAAGTTGTTTTTGTGTGGATGCATAAAGTTTTATGTCGTCCATGTACATGAGATGTGAGAGTGTAAACTGTGTTGTTTTTTCGTGTCTGATATTGTAGCCGTATTGCGTGTTGTTTAACATGTTGGATAATGGATTCAGGGCTAGGCAGAACCAGAGAGGACTCAAGGAATCTCCTTGAAAAATTCCTCGCCTAATGAATATTTCGTTTGTTTGTATGGAAGTGTTACTAACCCTGAGATGTAGTGTTGTTCTCCAGTGCTGCATAGTGTTTTCGAAGAATGCAATGAGTGATGGATGTATTTTGTACATGTGTAGAATATGTAGCAGCCAACTGTGTGGAACACTGTCGAATGCTTTTCTGTAGTCTATATATGCCATGTGTATGTTTCTGTGTTGTTTGTGTGCTTGCCGTAGAATGACTGAATCTATGAGTAACTGTTCTTTGCATCCCCTGTGATTTCTACGGCAACCTTTTTGTTGTTCTGTAAGAATGTCGTGTTCTTCAACATGTTTGTATATTTTGTTTGTGATACAGGATGTCAATAATTTGTAGAGTGTTGGAAGACATGTAATTGGTCTGTATTGTGTGGGGTCTGTGGTTTTGTTGTTTTTAGGTTTCATGTAGGTGATGCCCTGAGTAAGAAATTTTGGCATGTCTTGTGGGTTGATGATGATGTGTGTTAGATGTTTAGCTAGTTCCTGGTGCAGTGATGTAAACTTTTTGTACCAGAAATTGTGAATGTGGTCTACATCAGGTGTCTTCTAGTTGTGTTTTCTGTTAACAGTATAGCAGATGTCATGCACATTTATTTTAGCACAGGGCATAGTTGGTATGTTGTGCACGTTTCTGTTCTCCTCCTCGATCCAGCCTGCATCAGCATTGTGTGTAACAACACTGGACCAAAGAGAAGACCAATAAGTTGTGAGTTGTTCTTCTGTTGGTGTGCCACTGTGCTGTGTATCAGTATTTGTTTTGGTACTGATTTGTCTGTAGGAAACTTTTTCGTTGTTTGTGAATAATTTATTTTGTTGTTTTTGTAGTGTACATGCTTTGTATCATTTGAGTCTATGTGCTTTGGCTGCGAGTTTTTGTTTTAGTGTATCAATGTATTCTGTAATGTGTGTGTTGTGATGTTCATGTTTTGTGTGTGTTTTGATTTTCTTGAAAATGTTTTTGAGTTGTTTCTTTAATTTTGGTGTTATGTTGTTTTTAGTGTATTGTGTCAGCCTGCCTAATTGCTATGTAATGTCATTTATTTGTGTTTCTGTTCTTCTCTGCCAGGCAGGCTTGGGTTTTGTGTGTGTCTGTTTGCAATTGTATTTTCAGTCCATGGTGTGTCACTACTGTGACTGCCCCAGCATAAACTAATGTATGAATGTCTGAGAGTGTAGAAATTGAATGAATGTAGTTTGGTAGTAAGTGAGTGTTTACATAATTTAGTGTTTTCCCTACTATCTTTGAAGTGTTGATTTTCGGTATTCATGGTCTTTGTGTGGGATCTGTACCTGTATATTTAGTGAGTGTTTCCTGAAATATAAGTGAGAGTGTATTAACTAATTCTACATCTACGTTATCAGTGATGGATGAGGTAGTGCCTGTAGTGTCATTAATGGTGGTAGTTGTATGTGTACTGTTATCAATGCTTGTTGCTGGATTATCCTGACAGGTTACGTGATCTTCATTAATAATGTTAAATGTTTCTGTCTGTTGATGTATTTGATCAGCAACCTGTTGTTTGATAAGTTCAAGTCTTGTTTGTGGGATAAGGTTGTTGTGTATAATTGTTCTTTTTTGATCAACAACCCTTTGTTCAGTGACAGTTGTGTGAATCTATGGTGTAGTTGTTGTCTGTATGCTGTCATGTTTGTTTCGAGTCTTGTGATGGTGTAGTAAGTACGGATGATAAACTCGTTCATTTCTGTTGTCTATTTCATCTGTTGGCGTGGTTTTCCAGCCTTTTGTGGTCTGTGGATGCATTGCCACAGAAACACCAAGGCTAGGTTGATTCCTCACATCTGTTGAGGGCATTGCAGTAGCCATGCTTGGGCCAGCACTGCTTTCACCACTGGTAACCAAGGGAGACTGTGGCCTATTTTTCGAACGTGAGCCTCTGCCTAACCCACGAACGTGGACCTTGTTAACCTGGGCAACGTCCGAGCTGGTATCATACTTAGATCTGGTTACTACCATGATAAATATTTCCACAGAATGTGGGTGTGGTCACTCTTAGCTTCATTTCTCCCCATAGACCTTACTGGCATGGGTGTCCCTACCAGGAGCTTGTGCTCCAGCCTGCATTGCCCTATGGATCAGTAAAATTACTGGGCTCTCCCACCACGACCAGGTGGTGACCACAGGAGAGTTGTTTATTATTATTATTATTATGTTAGGTTTAATGAGTTATACTCAGTTGACACTGGTTGCTGTGTACTATGCTGGACCAGACTCAAGGCATAGTAACTAAAACAAGACAAAAATTAAATAAGTGTGTCAGCGTGTGTGTCTGTATTCAGGAATTTCCTAACGATATAACATACATTCAATATAGTGGCCTTGTATGTGTTTCTATTGAATTGTAATGTTCCCAGGCTTTTGTGTAGTGTTAGTGGTATGACACCTGTAGAGAAGAGAAGGACAGGTGCAATGAGCACCTTATCCATCCTCCACAGATGCCTTCTTTCATGGGCGAGTTCTGTGTACTTACTGATTTTTTTTTCACAATTTAATTTCTCAAGTAGATTTAGAAACATGAATATTGCCAGGCACCATTTTCTTAATGAAGTAAACTAACTTTTTTCTTTGTGAACTTTATTAGAGTTTTGTTCGAAATGTCATCACCACAGAGTTTGCACACTGAGCAAAACTAGTACTTTTTGACCAATTTACTAACGCATTTAATTTATTTGAGTTTACGAACTTAGATGTGTTGATATTTATTGTAACAGAGTTTATTTACTCAAATAAAATTATTTATTCTTTGAATAAAATAGTTAATATGTGTTAATTTTAATTTAAATTAGATAATTTTGTCATTAAAATACACAAATTTTTATGAGAACATTAATGCATGTGTTTGTACATGCACAGTAGATCCAATAAAGGTCCTACCCTGGAACTCCATAAATCTGGTCACCATAACTAAAGGCTCATTTAAATTGTACCATTGATCCATAGGAAATTTTCCCTTTGCTTTGATGTTGTAATTACTTATTATCATTGTCATTACTTTCATACTAATAAAGTTTGATTTGATTTCAATGCCTTCTTCTTGATGTTTAACTTTTTTCAGTATATTTTTAAAGTTATAAGAATTGATTCTGCAAAATGTTTGCATTTCAATACAATATTAACAAGAAATGTTTTTTGCAATATTTCTGAAAATTTTTGTATATATATAAATAAATTTGTAATATATAACTGCTATATTCTTCTTACAATATTTTTTGTTATATCTTTAAAGGAACATTATTAGGTGCCATGGCTCTTTTGTTTCATTGGACAGATACTACTCTTATTAGCCAAGGTCAAGAAATAGCATATAAAATACTTAAACTATTTCCTGTTCTTTCATCAAGTTTAATTTTATCTGATATTCATGAAATAGTTATGAATAACATATTATGTGAAAATTTTGAAGAAGGTTATAAAATTTGTAATAAAAAGAACAAGACACAGTACTTTCGTTGTTGTTCAAGTAAGTAAACCATATCTGAATGATTTTAATATTTATTTAAATTATAAAAATTTTTAACATATATTAAAATTCTTATAAATTTCAATTACTATAAGCTGGGGGTGGGCAAGCAAAAGTTCAGTGGGAGCCAAAATGTAGGTTTTGCAAAATGCATGGGAGCCACAGTTTTGTACTTTTTTAATTCTGTACAGCAGTTCTGTACTGTGATTTTATTATATAATATAAATATTATATAAAACAAATATTGAATTTTTTTAATAAACATATTTACACAAAATTATGGAAATAAAATTGTAAAAATAATAATAAAAAGCAGAAATTAACACTTTCAACAAGAGCCACATGTAACTCAAAAAGAGCCGCATTTGCACATGTCTGCTATAGGCAGTTTTTTTTCAACCTTTGTTTGTTTTGTGTTTTATTAAGTTATGGCAACACAATACTTGGGCGATCTGCCTAGGGGGAAATGCCTTTCGTGAGGTCTTTTTAAGGGTAACTGGCACCTATTTAGCATTACAAACATGGAGAAAAACTGGAAAACTCCACGTGGCCAGCTTGTCCAAGCATGGCACAAACCCACGACCAAACTCCCACTGTTCGGGGATGGAAACCTCTTTGCCACTGGTGGGCCTTTTTTTTCAACTTCCAATGATCCATAAAACAAAGGCAAGTGTAAACAACAAAATGAATTTATTACCAAAAGTTAGGTACAAACATGGTTACTTTTCAACATAATCACCATGAAGATTGGGGCATTTGTCATATCTGTGGACAAGCTTTGCAATCCTATCTTCATAGAATGTTGCCTATTTTCATAAGTAGTTTATTTTGTGTTTTAATATAGATTTTTGTTAGTGATTCCAACGTCATGGTACAATACTATATTGTACAAAATTAAGGCACAAACAATAGTTTGGTACATGCAAAGCACATTTATCCCAATCACAACAATATGATCAAACCCAAAACCTTAAAAACTAATCTTATATATTAACTTAATATTAAAGATAGAAAAGGATAGATTTAAGAAGATATAAGAAATAGTATATAGTAGAAATAGAAATACCCAGTGTTTTTCTTCTCGGCATATTTTACTCTGCCTATTGTGGGGTGGGATGCCAAACGTGATTATTATCTAGATGGCCCATGGTTGTCTTCTTCAATAAAATTCTGTCCTTGTTTTCTTTTCTGCTATTCAGTTTCTTTTTTCACTGTCTCATTGCCTCTATGATAAGACAGGATCCTTTCCTTAGACTTCTTTCTGAAATATCTCCGGTCATTGCTAATGCGTCCCAGAGAGCTCTACACCATGTCCATATGCTCCCAAGTTGGTAAAGAATGTCTTGCCTATTGTGTTTTTTTGGCCTCAGGGTCTTGTTCTCTCCTTTATTAACCTTATTTCTCAGAGCTGGCATCCCACCCAAGGGAAAGGATATAAGGAAGGCTCTAGAAAAAAGAAGAAATAAAGAACAAAGAAAACTTAAAAACTAACTTAAATTAATAATTACAATGCATATGGCATGCAGCCACACCATGAAACTATGGATATAAAGCAATAAAATATGTAAATATGACAACCAGCATGAATTAGATTTAATTAAATGAAAAACAAATGTTTTCCTCTGTTATTACGGAGGAAAACGTCTGTTTTTTGATTAATTAAATCTAATTCATGCTGGTTGTTGGTAATTGCATATTTTAATAATTAATACAAGGGAAGTTTTTTCCAACCTTTTATGGTCCATAAAACAAAGACAAGTGTAAATAACAAAATGAATTTATTACCAAAAGTTAGGTACAAACATTGTTACTTTTCAACATAATCACCGTGAAGATTGGGGCATTTGTCATATCTTTGGACAAGCTTTGCAATCCCCTCTTCATAGAACGTTGCCCGAAAATATACCATCTTATTGTTATCGTATCTTGTCTACCTTCACAGTTAACTCAAATTTAGCATTAATTTCACAATGGAAATTAATATTAATTATTGAAAATATTTAACCATATTGCTTTGAGAAATACTAATTTAGTTACACATTTGTTCAAATAATTAAATTTTTCATTTTATAACATAAAATAAATACTAAAATTAAATTAATGCTTTATAATTTTTTTTATTGACTCAAATTTTAATTCAGTGACAAAATTAAATTTCACATTCAAATTAGATTTAGAATGCTATTAATATATCTTTTGGAATAATTAATAATTTAAAACTTGGTACAATGAAGAAAATTGGAGTAATATAATAATCTTTAAGCTGTATCTTAGTGACAAAATTTGATTATTTATTTATTTTACTTATTTAAGCATACTAGATACATTCCATGATTCAGGGATAAAAAAGATTCATGCCTCAAAGAACTTTTATATAAATAATTATTAATTTATGGAAATACTTTCACTTCAAATTGAAATCAAAACAATAAAGTAAAACACTTTAAAAAAGCTATCGATAGTTATACTTGATGTTGATTTAATTATTTGAATTAATAAATGATTTAAATATAGTTGGAAAGTTTAGTTTTTAAACAAATAAATAATATATGCAGTAGAGCATCAATTATCCGAATCAATTGGGGACTGGGGTTGTTCGGAAGATCGATGTTTCGGATAACCGATTATGTACAAAAAAATATATTAATTTATCCCATCTTGACATTTTTCTCCATTGCATGTCGCTTCGCGTTGAATTTTCATCGATGTTAAGCCTAACAAAGACTATTGTATCATTAAAAATTATTTTTTTATTTTGTACGAACAAAATAAATATATTGAAAAATATAAAAACAATAAAAAATTACACTTCAGAAGTTAATTTAGTATCAAAAACGTAAAATATTTGAGTAGCCCAAGACATAGCCAAAGATTGCAGCTCCACAGCACTGACGAAAATTTAAATTTGCCGACTGGAATACTTTCGGATAATCGACACTCTACTGTATTGTACTTTATTTTTTTATTATTTTTGATTTTATTTCTAATGTTAATTTTTATTTAAATCCTTTCACTTTATTTTCATTTTGAGAGATTAAATTATGAACTCTGAAGACAATAAATTTTTTTAACATTTCAATATATTTCATGCTAGAATTTTAAAAATATTTTAAAAAATTATATTAATTTAATAAAATTTCAATATATTAAAGTAAAGTTTATTTATGTTGCAGGAAAAGTTTGTGAGGATGGGTGTTTGACACGAAATGTTGATTGGAATAGGGAATTGCCAGAATTTGCTTTGCCTTTGTTCATTGAAGGAGTGATATTTTTCATAACACTAATTTTCATAGAAATAGCTTTATCTAAATTGCTACATGAATGTATCAAAATATTTACTAGTATAAAGAAATCAAAAGAAAGAGAAAGTGATAATATTTCTCTTCGTAAGGACATTGACATATTAAATGAGGAATCTCGAGTGAAAGCACTTTATTTGGAGCATGAAATTAATAATGAAGTCTTAACAGTAAAAGATTTAACAAAAAATTATTTTGGTTCTGGCTGCACTGTCAAAGAATTAACTTTTTCTGTACATAAAAATGAATGTTTTGGTTTGCTTGGAATAAATGGGGCTGGAAAAACAACTGTATTTCGTATGCTGGTTGGTGATCTGATACCTGATTCTGGTGATTTCTATAACAACAGAGGTGGTCTTCAAAAAAACAAAAATAAGGTAATTTTATTTAATATACAGCAAATTATATTGAATTAAATTTCAGATGATTATTATTTTTGAAATTAATAAAAGTAAAAATTAAAAAGAATATATCCTTTGCAACAACAATTATGTATAAAATAATACTTCTTTCAGCATTAAAATTCTTTAATGATAGTAAAAATAGCACTATAGCAATAACAAAATATGAGTACTTTCAATATCACTTTGATGTCACTACAATAGTGTTAATTTCATTATTGTTAAAGTGCTATTTTTATTATCATTAAAGAATTTTAACCCCAAAAGGCAGTATTGTTTATTTTATATTTATATATTTGATAGAATTTTGTGCATGAAAATATGTAAATATAAAAAAAAACTCAGCAAACATAGTTAAATTATTTTTCTTGGAGCTAAACTTTAAGAAATCCTGTCTTTTGGTTGTATGTCTTCTGTCTTTTGTCCAGTGTCATCTCAAGCTGAACTTTAATTTGTTTTCAATTTTGGAATCTGTCATATAAAGAATAGACTACTGAACACTGAACATTGAAAAATACTGTGACAGTGCCAAAGGGCCCCCCAATGCTTCGGCACCATGGGACTGAAGGGTTGACATCGCGTTGGCAAAGACCACAATGACAAATTCTGTCAGGACTGACACCACTGTATCTTCTGGGTAGACACAGAGACTGTTACGTTCACAATTTCCATCTTGTTCGCATGAGCAGTTTCGTCTGTGGAGGCTTAGGGTTGGAATGGAGATGGAGGGAGATACCCGGAAGAACTACACTCCCAAAGGCTATTCATTTAACAAATATCCATTTATTCAGAGAGGCTATTTACAGGATTCACAACTGAGGAGCTACCGTTCTCGCTAACTCGAGTAAACGTCAAGGTAGAAGCTTATCATATCAGGAGAGAGAGCTTATAAAACTTCCACGCAATAACAAATACCTGGAGTTTGAGTAGGTCCTTGATGTAGGTTCGTCTTTAGGCCGTCCAAAGAGGTTCAGGATTTAATGGCATTCATGTTCTAGTTCAAGTTCGGTTAAGTTCATGTGCTAAGAAGGGTTAAGAAGTGGCAAAGATAGGACACACACACCCGCACATAAAAGTTCACACTCGCTGACGGGGAAAAGCCTCTGTAGTCATTGTCCCCTTCTGTTTATAAGGGAGTCTCTCCTGGATTTTTCCCATGACTCTACCTGGAGTTTTAGTACTTCAGGCCCAATGATTGCATTTCACTCGTTACTTCAGAGTGATGCATATGAGGTGTCACTTTAAACAAGGAACTAAGTCCATGGAAAACATTTTAATCGCTGAGTTGATCAATAATTTTTTCAAAATGGAAAATTATCTTTTTACAAACAACAAAATGTTATAATAATTTATAATGATTGTATAATAAAGGTTTCCCATAAATGCAGTTCTCACAATATCACAAGCTTGAGAAAATGGACAAAAGCAGAATTTATCCAGATTTATTGAAGGTACAAGTCCAAAGATAATTATTGAACTATGAGATAACTGAGGGATGAATGTCATAGTAAGTTTGCCATTAATTTTGAAAGCAACACAGAATCAAAAGCCTGTTTGATATTGACATGTATGACATAAGTTGGTTTATTTTAGCTTCAATGTTATCAATGATAATAGATTGTAATTGTAGTAGATTTTTGCATGTAGAATGGCAGTTTAAACTACAGTAGTACCTCAGGATACGAAATTAATCCATTCCTAAACTGAGATTGTATCATGGAAATGTTGTAAGGTGAATCACTTTTCCCCATATGTTTACATGTAAAACCATATAATCCATTCCAACATGAAAAACACACTCAAATTAAAGCTAAGTAGTACATTGAAAAAAAATAACTTTAGTAAGGAAAACACTGAAAAATGCGTTTTGCATTTTAGCATAATAGTATAATAAGAGCATAACAATTAGCATAATAAGCATAATAGAATAATAATCGATGAAAAAAAATAACTTTAGTAAGGAAAACACTGAAAAATGCGTTTTGCATTTTAGCATAATAGTATAATAAGAGCAAAACAATTAGCATAATAAGCATAATAGAATAATAATCGATAAAAAAAAATGTAGTTTTATTTGCACTTAACCTTTGAGGATAGACGACGGNATAATAGAATAATAATCGATGAAAAAAAATAACTTTAGTAAGGAAAACACTGAAAAATGCGTTTTGCATTTTAGCATAATAGTATAATAAGAGCAAAACAATTAGCATAATAAGCATAATAGAATAATAATCGATAAAAAAAAATGTAGTTTTATTTGCACTTAACCTTTGAGGATAGACGACGGGGGAGGTGTAAACTGGTGGCAGAGGAGAGGGAGAAGGGAAATGATACTAAAACTTAAGTTATATAACATAATGTAACAATAACTTAAAAATAACTTAACACTAATTTTTTTTATCTTTTCTGTTTTATATATTTAAAAAAATTTTTTTTTGTTTTCTTTCCTTCACTTTCACCAGCAGTTTCACTGGATAGAGGTCGCTTGGTAAAATATCTATCCAAAGAGGTTTGGCTTTGCCTGCTTTTTAAAATGTTTCTGAAATGACTTAGGCAAATGTCATTAAACTGAGCAGCAATATGGCCAGTAGGAATCTTTTCGGGATGTTTCTTTTCAATAAAATCAGTCACTTTCTGGTAATATCTCAAGATTTCCTTTATCAAGCGAGATCCTTCCACAACAAAGCAAACATGTGGACTGAGACCGATGAACAGAAGGAACATGTAATCATGGCAGTAGCACTGCGAACTAACGTAACGTCATATGGTGAGTTTTTGTTCGTACCGTGGAGCAAAAATATGTTTGAATTTCATATCGTATTCTGAAAATTTCATATGCTGAAGCATTTGTATCCTGAGGTACTACTGTACATTGTTGGAAATGAAATTCTTTGAACAAATGGAGAAATATTGTATAATCAAATAAACAAGTTTGAATAATTTCATCATACCTAGAGAGATAGGTAGCAGTCTATAGGAGTTAACTTCCTTCTTAGGAACAGTGATTATTTATGACATTTTCCATTCATCTGAGATAAAAACCATTTCAATTATGTCAGAGAAATATGGGATAGACAATGGCAGTAGTAGGAAAACACTAGAATAAAACAGTAGGAATATTATCAGAACTTCCTTCAGAATTGGAGAGGTTTGCAATAGCCTTCTTAACAGTCTTAAAAAAAAAAAAAAAAAAGATATACCAGTTGTAAAAGTGTGACGCTGAATTTGAAAAAAACAAGATTAGAAATTGTTATAAACTTGGTAGAATGAGTCATCAGATATGCATCTTGAACAGGAACTAGAGCATCTAGAAAATTTAGGGATAAATCCCCAGAACATCTGGAGTCATAAGAATATTTATTAGCAACATAATTAAAGTATTCAGTAAATTCAATTTGGCTCAAAAAATTTTTTTCTAGATGATCTTGTTCAAATTCAAATATTTGGGTTTTCTATTTCTTTCCACATCCATCATTCTTTGTGCATAAAATTTCTTAATTTTTTTTAAAAAAATAGAAAACAACAGTTATAAAAAATCAATATTTTTACATGAAACACAAGAGTCAATAGATAATTTAAATTGTATATATACTGTAAAATGGCTAATTCTTTCAAAAAGATGGAATTAAAACTAATGCACACAGAATTACAGTTAATATATTAAATAATAATAAGAGCAACTCAACAGTATCATACATTCTTGATAGAAAAGTTTTAATTTTTAAATCATGGTTGCCACATTTACCTTTATGATGGGGTGAATATGTCTTGACTTTGGAATGTGCATTTTATTCTACATTTAACCTTCTATGAGTTGAATATGACCGTAACAAGTATATTTTTAAAGCTTACATTTATTTACATTATAAAGTTTTAAACTTTAAAATAATAAACTATTAAAAACTATATAAAACAAGATTTTAAAAATTTTGTTATTCAAAATAAATGATATTAGAAATACTATCATAAAATAATTATTACAGACATTTTGATCACAAAAATATTAGGCCTACTGAGATTATTTTTCTCATAACATTAACAAAAATATTATTGTTATAAAGATCACATTTTTATCAAAAATTATTAGAGATAATATTTTTATCAAAATTGTGTAACAAAAATTTTTATTGTAAAATTTAAAATAAATGATTGATATGTTTTATACCAATGCTTTTTTATTTCAGGGATTGAAAACTTCCCTCACTCATTAAGAACTTTTGTTCTTGTATAACCTAAATTATATTTTTATTTCCATAGTAAGATATATCTTCCTTAGTAGGTATTTCCTTAGTATAGTATAGGTTCCTTAGTAGGTATTTCCTTAGTATTATCTTCCTTATTGTGTTAACTATAGCACCTTTAGAGCCTACTCAATATTTTTCCTAGAAATTTTAAACCCTATTGATCATCCATGTTAATAATGCTATCTGGTTCAATGCCATTCAGTGTATATTCCAAATTCTTGTAAACTCTTCTATAGTTTCAGTAGAAATTATACCTCTTCCTGCTGTGATATTAGTAGATGTTTATATAGCTAGCTCCCTATTTCATTGTAAAAATCCTTTTATAAAATCATATCCAGGTAAATTATCTCTAAGCCAACAAATTTTTGCTCCTTTATGATCCAAATAATCCTTTATGACATGTCATAATTCAGATGTTGTAATGGGAAATCTAAATTCTGATGCCATAATAAGATGGTAACTAATGATTTTTTTTTTCCTTTTTCTGTGGTCTGACCTCTTTTCAAAGGATTGTTTCCATTTTAATTTGTAAAGTTGTGTTGAAATTGTTGGAATTGAGCTACTTACCTAATCCCACCACCAAGGTTTGCTGATTTGTAGTCTTTGGTTCTGAAGGATTAATAATAAAAACATGCCCTATTTTGTATTTTGCTGTATGTTGTGTGTAGATGTTAGTATTGTTATGTTTAAGAGTATGGACCATTTATTTAATTTCAACAAGATGTTCTTGCAATATTGAAGTAGAACTAGCTCCTCATTGTTACATTCTACCAAATTTAACAGCTTCAACTGTAGCTTGTATTATATGTTTACTATGAACAACATATCGTGTTGCCCCACTTTTAGGCATGTAATGACGGAATTATTTCTAAAAATAAGACAACATTGTTTTAACATAATAAATATAATAATTCATTCATATAATACTCAAAATAATCAAAAACTAACCTTTTCTATGGTCTGTTGATTACTTCTTACTGCAGGCTGCCATGATGGAAAATAGCAACATCTACAACATTTTTAATTGCAGATGAATTTGACCTTATGGAGTAGCTTTCTTAATATAATAGTAATTGATGAAAAACTGATTATGTTTCATCTTTTTACATTTTTTTAAATCGAAACTAGAGAACTAGAGGCATGTAATTTACTCTTTGCTTTATTGGAAGGTAACTATTTTCAAGAAATGACTAGTTGAAAGAGCAAAAGTTAGAAACTTTATTCAAGTTTAGTTTGATTCTACAATCGGATAATGATATGTGAATGATGAGGGGTATGTTATCAGTATTTTTAACTACAAATAGTTCTACTAGTTAAGAGTCTTATCAAATGTGCTGAGCTGAGTTATAGCTCATTATTTAGACTGTCAGTTCAGCTTCTTGAATTGTAGCTCACTGTTCAGCTCAGTTCTGGCCATTTTCAGAGTTTTTTTGTAATTCGATGTAGACTTGGTCTCATCTACTTTGAATTATTGGGACTGTACTGTACATATTTTGCTAGAAATGATTGTTGTTATTTGTATCATTCTAAAATATTACACTTTATTACTTTTAATACTACTTCTAAAGCTAAACATTGTTTATAGTTCAATTGCTGAATGTTTGAATAGATTTTATTTGAATACTTGCATTTTAACAACAGATAAATGAAATGAACAATGTACTGTGTATCTGTTAATATTACAGATGCAATTTAAATGGGCTTTCAACACATTTCAGCTCAGTTTGCAGTAGTTGACCTGTCCAGATTTTAGTTTAGCTCAGTATTTCTAAATATCTGAGCTAAGTTTTGCCAAACTCTAACTACAGTATATAATATAGAAGGATTGGATGGGAATCCATTAGTATCTATGTTAAGCCCCATAGAAAACACCAGATCACGAAAAGAGTTGCCTCTGGTTGGAAATTATAGTGTTGTTCTAAGTAATAAAAATAGAATACTTTATTGAGAAAGCATGTTTCAGTGATCAACTTTATAGAAATAAAGTTTTTTTATATTACAATTATTTTATTTGAATATTAAAAACATAAAATGAGTAATATAAGAGTATATAAATAAATTTTTCTTATTTTAAAAGTTAAAACTTGCTACTAAATAAAAATATTCATGATATTTTAAGAAATTGATATAATATTTTTATATCTTTTCAGTATCTACCTGGCATAGGTTATTGTCCACAATCTAATGCTCTCATTAATCACTTAACAGGAAAAGAAACATTGACATTGTTTGCTAATTTAAGAGGTGTTTCACCACAAGATATTGATTGCATTGTCAATAAAACTTTAAAGTTTTGTGATCTTAAAAAATATGCTAACAGGACTACTGAAACTTATAGGTAAATTCTACCAAAAATCTAGTTTAGGTATTTAAAGCATTTTTTAATTATATAATGAGTATAGTTTTATGTTTTTAATTTTCAAAATCGTGATAAATATTCACTAATATATTAACTTTTAACTAGAAAAATTATTCGGAAATCAAATTTTTATGATAAAACTTCTTCTTTATTATAATTTGTATATAGATTAATTTTTCTAAGTTGATTAAACTACTATTTTAAATATAATTAAACAGATTTAATATGATTAAATTTTCAGACAATTTAATTCAAACTTTATATTGTTTAATATCTTAATATTCATATAAATAATATTTATATTCACAGACTAATGTTGCAAAGTAAAATAATTTAACTGTGTTCAGTAGGTATAAATGACAGTTTATTATTTATTAATCAATTTTGTAATCCATTACAAAAGTATAAAATTTTAAAATTTGTTTCTTAATAAATATTTATATTTACTAGCAGATACGAGAGGTGTTCAAAAAGTATCGGACCTTTATTTTTCCTGCATAAACCAATGATGCACGGGAGGTCTCTTTTGGAGGAGTTGTGGAGGGGACAGTCATGCACAATCCTGAATTTTTTCCCACCTGCAGGAAGCATCAGTCGTTGGCAGTCGGCCTATGAGTGAGGGCGTGTAGCGAGCTCTCGTCGGATTCCACTAAGTTGGAAAATGACTGAACAACATGAGCAACGATATTGCATCAAATTTTGCCAAAAGCTTGGCGATACTCAAGCGGAAATCATTCACAAGATTCAGCAAGCTTTCGGGGACGATCCTCGAGGCCAAAAAAGCGCGACTGGTCTGCAGCAATGTCAAGGTCATGTTAACAGTTTTGTTTTACTCCCATGGGGTGGTGTATCCTGAGTATACACCACAAGGCCAAACCATCGCAAAGGAATACTACCAGGAGGTCCTTCATCATCTTTGTGATGCTGTGCAACGCAAATGACTGGATCTGTGGTCAACCAAAACTTTGCAGCTCCATCATGATAACGCACTCGCCCATTCTGTGCATCTGATTCAGACTGTTGTCACCAAACACAACATTCCTGTGATTCATTATGCTCCGTACTCTCCCGACACGGCTCCGTGTGACTTTGGCTATTTCCCAAGCTGAAAATGCCACTAAAAGGAACCTGATTTTAGTTAAAAGAACACATCATGCGGAATGCGACGAACCGGCTGATGGCCATTCCAAAAGATGAGTTTCAGCAATGTTTCCAGCAATGGCAGGAGCACCGGGAGAAGTGTATACATTACCAAGGAGACTACTTTGAAGGGGATTAGGGTTTTGTACCTCAAAATCAATAAATGTATTTTTGCCAACCAAAGGTCCGATTCTTTTTGAACACCCCTCGTATGCCTGGTGTTGCCCAGGTAAAAAATAATTAGGATAAACATTAAAAATTTAAGTTTGTTAAAAGTTACTATTTTAGGCAAACTCAAATCAACAGCAAGATTCCAAATCCAGTAAACCCTACACACTCAGAAATCATCACTAAGAATATGATTCACAGATCATGTAGCACATTTATTAATTATTACACAATGGTTAATTATATAATTATACATTAAACTTGAATTATCACAAATTGTCCAGGGAATATAATCAATGACAGGTAGAAGTTAGTATGCAATTTAAAAAAAATTTATTTGCAACTGTCAGTAAAAGAAGTAAGCCTCTGCATTAATTGTTAGGACATTAAGATGAAAATACAGTGTGATCACAGATGGCTGGATGGCCAGTGATTAAAGTGGAAACCTACCACTTTAGGTGAGCCAAGATCAAATCTGAAAGGATTGAAAAACCACAGGGATTTCTTATTATAGATATATTGGCCCCCTTCCCTCAGTGCCCAGTCATTCTGTTGTGGGCCTAGCCAAACTCATAATAAACATGCCAAAAAGAGGCCCTCTTAGTGTTTGTGGAGTGAAGAGAGTAAAATAAAAACATTATGATCATACTAATCTTGTCTAATTTTGAGTGATTTTAAAATAATGCCATCTTACAATGCAAAAGGACAATAAATAAATCTGTAGAACTGGGGAGTACCGAGATAATCCCGACCTTAATGTGGGGTAAGAGTTGGTAAAAATTGGTAAAAATGAACATCGTTAAGTTTGTTATCCGAATTTCATCCATTATCCGAGATAAAATTTTTGCAAAATAAAAGTTTGTTAACCAGGGCGTTCATTAACCGGGGTTGCACTGTACTTTATCAAACATTAGTTCCAATGGAGCAGTAAGAGTAAATCATTGAGTGATCTCTCTGTATATTACTGCTCTGTGGGAACAGTCTGTATCATGCACAGCTTAAACAGTGTTTTGTATGCAAGAGCTTTTATCTAAATAAAAATGAAAACTGAGTGTGATCCTGAAACTGCTATTGTTTTTTGATCTTTTAACTACATTATACATTTTATCAATGATATCAACTATTTTGAATTGTTAAATTTCATAATTAAATATAACCATTGATCCAAAACGTATGCAGCAGTAAATGGTAATCAACATTTATTCATTATTCTTTCTTTGTGTGTTGCTTCCAAAAGTAATAAGTAACAAATGTTTTTAAAAAAGAATATTTATTACATCAGATCCTTGTGAGTGGTGATTACTGTATACACATCTTATTTCTCAGTCTTTACTAGGCTGCAATTTTCAAAAATTGTAGACCTATAAATTCCCACTGGCATCAATCTGTCTCTCTGTCCTTCCTTAATATTGAGAATGAAGTTAGATAGATAAAAGTTGAGACCAGATATGGAAAACTTGAGGACAGGAAATCCTTATAACTATATATACAAATTTCCAGTTTTGGACCCAAAATCACATTATTTTAATTCAAAAATTTTATTCTGAATGGAGTTATATAGATGACCCGCATGACTTTGTAACAGGAAAAGTATGATGTACAGGGGCAAGACACTACTAAACATGAGAACATTGTGATGAAAAATTGCACCCTGGCATTGTGACAATGTCACAATAAATAATTGCTTGTCTCAGAATAATTTAACATGATTTTCAAAATTTCTGTTCTTTCATTTTGCTTAACATAAAGGATCTCTAGCAATTATCTGCATGTACAATTAATAGTTAATTTATCAAACTAACTAATAACTAATAAAATGTTAAAATTTATTTTCCAGTGGTGGAACACGACGTAAATTATCTGTTGCAATAGCTTTAATTGGTCTGCCAGAAATAATTATTCTTGACCAACCGACATCTGGAGTCGATCCAAAATCTTGTCATAAGCTATGGAAAATATTAATAATGATCAAAAAATTGCTGGGGGAATCATTGCTACTCTCATCTCACAAGTAAAATAATTTTTTTTATTAAAGTTAATTTTAGTAATAAAAATAAAATATTTTTAAAAATAGATTTAAATTTTTCAAATATTAAATTCTTAAATTTATATAATTTTAATAAATGTTTAGCTAATTTCAATCATTTTTGGATGTTTTCTTTTCAGTTTTCATTAATATTTTAAAAATTATTTTTTAAACTGTTAAAAATATATATATATATTTATAATAAAATGCTCAAATATAAAAAACATGTATTTATGATTAAAATTTATTAATACAGTATAGCGTCGATTATCCAAAAGTCAATCATCCGAAAGAATTCCAGTCGGCAAATTTAAATTTTCGCCAGTGCTGTGGCGCTGCAATGTCTTGGGCTACTCAAATATTTTACGTTTTTGATACTAAATTAACTTCTGAAGTATAATTTTTTATTATTTTTATATTTTTCAATATATTTATTTTGTTCGTACAAAATAAAAAAATAATTTTTAACCATACAATATTCTTCGTTAGGCTTAACATCGACGAAAATTCAACGCGAAACGACACGCAACGGAGAAAAATGTCAAGATGGGATAAATTAATATATTTTTTCGTACATAATCGGTTATCCGAAACATCGATCTTCTGAACAACCCCAGTCTCCAATTGATTCGGATAATCAACGCTCTACTGTAATATAATTAAAATTCATTTATAAAAATTACATTTATCAGTCAATCTTACAAATATTCATATTCAAAGTTACTATCTAAAAACCTTTTTTTGATCCAGAATGTTGTGTTTTAATTTAATGAATGTATTATTTGGCTGCTTTTATCAACAATCTTTAGGTTTTAGGTACAGAGCATCAGCTGAAAAGAGTGTTACCTTAGATAACATTCTATTCAGCTGCTTCATAAATGTTCTGTAAGGTAATAATGCTATCTTAGGTGACATTACTACCTTAAAAACACTTGTGAAGAGAAATATTGAATTGATCACCTGTCACAGACACCTTAATTCTATTTCTGTATATTATGTGCATGTAATGAATACAGTACATTCTTGAAACTTAATTGACAACATATTAAATTTTAATTAAAAAATAATACATTTTTGTTGTTTTTATTGCTTTTTGTGTAAAAATAAATATATTAAATTATCTCAGTATTTAATATAGAAAATTTATATTAATTTTTGAAAGGGGGAAACATTAATCTGTAGTATATATACATTTTGTCAAATAAGTTAAATAATTTTAAATTTAATTGATATTTTACAGCATGAATGAATGCGAAGCCTTATGTGACAGAGTAGCAATTATGACCAAAGGAGAATTTCATTGTTTGGGTACAATACAACATCTTAAAAATAAATTTGGTCAAGGTTATACTCTTGTTGTCAAAATGAAACAAACTGATGAAAGAAACCAGATTACTGAATTGAAGAAGTTTATCAAAAGTGCCTTTCCTACTATTGTATTGAAAGATTCATATCAGGTTATTAAATTAACTTTTTAATTTAATTATTAAAATGTTTAATGTAGAATATGTTTAAGATAATCTAAACAGATTGCTTAAAGCAAGTGTTGATGATATAAATTCTTCAAAAAACTTTTGTTATTTAATTTAATAAAAAAAATATATTTTAGTTTTACTGTTATGTCTCGACTACTACAAACAGAACAAGTCCATGATTCCTTACAATAGTCGTTATTTTTACTCCATTGACACATGTGACACTGGCCAAAGGGACCCCAGTTTCCTTTGTTAACTGTTTTTATACCCCTAACCCTGATGAAATAGTGTTGCCAATCCATAGCATTTATTATTGTGGCTTGATCAAGCCTTTTGTTCTTAACTTCCCTTTTTTTTTTTTTTTAAACTAGTACTTCCGGGCTTTGTCTGTCTGGCCTTACCCTTCTTGGTTGGTCTGATGTGTTCTTTACAAAAGGGGTAGAACCTGATTGGTCAGAAGAATTAGCAGACAAAGGGGGTATATAGGAATGGAGAAGGATGAGATGGACATCTTTTGGGATTGAGTGTTTGGACAGAGAGTAACACGTGTGTGTCAAAAAGAATGAAACCTAATTACCTCTCCTCATCGAAGAAAGAAGACCCTAGGTTAATTTTACCAACCATCTCCCTTTTGTCCAAATTCTTCCATCTTAATTTTTCTAATATCTTCAAAAACCCCATCTTTATCAAGGGCCCGATTACTTGTAAAAACTAGTTAAGTTTCCTTTGTTTATTGTCACATGGGACTTTGTTGGTCATATTGTAAATTTTGTCCCAATTTACTGTATACATAGTAGTGTAATTTTGATAATCTTTTTTTCCAGGAAAATTTCTTTAATGAAACATTAAATTTCTTAAATTTTATCTACTCTGAGCAATTCTCAGGAGTCAATTTTTTCCTCAGTTACATTATACATTTTTTAAATTTACTTAAATAATAGGAAGATAAACAGATTAGCATGACCTTTAATAGGGATATAAAGAAAAATTTCAAAATTAGGTATGAGAACAAGATTTAAGAAGGAGTATACACTGACCAACAAATTTTTTCAAAATCTCAGCTGCATGGGATTTTTTCACTGATTCTTAATAATTTGGGCATGCTGATTTCAAATCTGCAATCAGTTTTTTTTTCTCCTTGCTCTAGTTTTCATACAATTCAAACGTTTGCATTCCATCACTTTATGTTTATGTTATTGACATGGTTTACAATAAAATTGTGTAGATATGGACCTACTAAAGTACCATGAGACAAGTGGACAATTTGAATTGATCTGAAAATGATTGTCTCCTCAGACAACAGACAGGTTACACTAAGTATCCCTGCTTTATTTGCATGTGAAACAGCAGAGATTGAGACAAACACTGGAACCAGGAGTGGCCCATGCGTAAGACTTTGTGCAAGCAGCCAAATATTGTCAATGTCCAATTGTCAGTAGAGAGAAGATCATTTTTCCTCCACTGCATATCAAACTGGGGTTGGTTAAACAGTTTCTGAAGGCATTAAATAGAGATGGTGAATGTTTCCAACATATAGTTGGTGCTCTCCCTGCTTTGTCTCTTGAGAAGATCAAGGCAGGTGTGCTCGATGGGCCCCAGATTTGCACACTCGTTCACGACCAATAATTTGTCTCAAAAATGAACAACAGAGAAAGAATTGCATGGGTGTCATTGGTGGTGGACATGGAGACCGAGAAAGAAGAGAAGAGAGCGAACTGTGGTGATCAGTGAATAGTGGTGTGTGAAGGTATGTGATACAGAAGTCATGAAGCCACTCAAGGAAAAAGCTGTACAAGATCAGGGTTAGGATTCTGTTTTGAACTGTCTTACATCAGGTATAAAGTTAGATAGTAAGAACACATATATAACATTGTTGGTTTGTTTATGTCTGCATGTTACAGAAATTCATTAACAGTCTATTGTCGGGTTTATTGTGTGTTCCTGTTACTTGGAAATTTGGATTTGTCAGGATGTGTTCTGGTAAGTTTCACTGGAAGCACTATATGTTCTTGGACAAATTAAATTGCTATCCGGTTATTCCTTTGGTTCATTGTCTTTGTCTGGACTCTACTGAGATCAATGGATTTCCCTATATAAGTGTCTGCTCCATTTGGTGCACTTGTTATCACTTTGGTCCATTGAAGAAATCATCAAAATTCTTCTCTGCATCAACTCGTTCGTTCCTTTTATTCTCACAGCAATTTAACTGTTTATTGCCCAGTTCACTGAGAGTGTTTCATTATATATCTATCCACATATGCAAAGAGGTTGTGTTGTCCTAGTATATTGTCAGTTTAGATTGTCATCATGTTTAAAAAAAAAAATTTTCTTTTTTACTTATCCTCTACCTTATTTTTATTTGCTCATCTATGTTCTGTTTATTGTCAATACTAATATTGTAAATTATCATTTTTCTTTGTATGCGCGATGTATTCAAGATTGTAAAATGTCTCGTTGTTTTTTTTTTGTATTTATTTATTTGTTATTTTTTGGAAGTTATTTGTATGGAGGAAATTCCTAGTTTTGTAATCTGTCCCCATCTGAGGGAGGAATTATGAAGTATGGTATAAAACTCAGATAAGTGAATCACTTGCCTGTTTATAACCTTATACAGTGAATAGTTTTTTTTTCTGCCAATTGGATTTATTCAACTCTTTGTCTTCTCACTGAAGGACTCTTTGTGTGAATCGCCATGTGCTGTGTATATGCCAACTTCATAGAGATATTATTTATTATAAAGTTAGAGTTAAAGATTATAAAGTTAGTTTTAAGTGTATTTCTTGCTCGCCTCCTCCTTTTGTGGTAATCAAATTCACTTATACCTGCGAATTTTAACACCACGGATCTTCGCAATCCCACAAGGTCAATGAGTTAAACATAAAAAATTGAAATTTTGACATTTATTAATTGCAAAAATACCAGAACTCTCCGGAAAAAACAAACCTCTGATCTGAACTCAGCACCCCCAAATTAATTAACACGTGTTAATAGATATTCAACAAAAAATTTGTTGGCCAGTGTTATTTTTCAAGATGAAAAAGATGTTACATTTTGAATACATAATTAATTATATTATTGAAGAAGGTGGAAATAATCTTAAATATTAATTTAATTATTCATTGCTTGAATTGAGCAGTGTACAACTGATTTCAGTAGCACTATCTCATGTTTACCAATTCTTCATCTTTTGGATTGAGAATCTGCTGTTGTATCCTGAGCAAGAAATTTTCTGCCTTTTTGACATAACATAAAATTTTTAATGAATTATCTTATCTTTGCACACATGCATTTACAACAAATACTAAATATTCGAAGTTAGCTGAATGTCAATTTTTAGAAATTGTCATTCTCCAACATTAACATTTTCTTTGAGTTTGATGTTGCCATATGTATGAGAAAGCCAGTCTGAAAGTTCTTGTAAATCTAAGCCACATGTCAAATCACATTTTCTAGGTTAAACACTATAAGGAATTACATTCATTCATTTCTTTATTAACGCACACAATGGTACATGCCGGGTTCTGCAGTGAGCACTACCCGGTTATAATTCCTTATACACTATAAGGAATTACAGTATTAACTTTTATAATTTTTTTCTACAAATAATAAAGTTTTAATATAATACTTATTATATATGGTACAATGTATTATTACACTGTATTCTATATTTTTATAACTACATGAGTAATCTGTTTAATAGGAAAAACCAATATTATAAAACTATTATTGTGATAGAGAATGAAGATTGAATAAACGGTAAAAATGCCAAAAGTTTTGATGACAATCATTCTGTAAGTTGTGTTTTTATTTCTCGGCCTTTGCATTCCAAAATCAGCCATTTCTAGCTATCAAGTCAGTCTTATCTATAATATAAGATTGGCAGGAATGAATCTAATTAGTTGTCAATAACCTATTGGCTTCTTGGATGTGTAATATGTCCTTGTGCTTGTAATTAGAGAGGCTTAGATGCTCAATCCTTGCATTTTGGAAATAGTTCTGCATTTATATTTTGAATTGGGCATGGCAAATTTAGAGCTGATTCCATTTATAACCATATTGAGACTATTAAGTTTTTTTATGAGCTACAAATGTCTATGTATGGTAGAATCAAAAATAAAACTTTTATTTAATAGTATGAATATTTACAGAAGACTACCTTTAAGTAAGCTCTATCTGCAGCTAAATATTTCTTCTAGTGTCCCATACCATTTGTCCAAGCATTCTTGAAAGCCATTTTTTATATCTTTAAGAGTTTTCAGTTTCCATCAGTTAGTCTTAGCTAATTAATATGTATATAGCCATGAAAGGTATAAGAATGCTTTTTCAACCTCTTTATTCCTCAATCTCATCCTCAAAGACTTTGGTCTGCTTTCTAAAATGAAAGAGAAGGATTACAGGTTTCAGTAGCAGAGGTCAAAACTACAGCAATGTTACACATAAAAACATTACAAAAACTTAGTTTCCAGGATCGCTTTTACAAATGATATGGAAACAGATAGAAATATGTATCTACAGTAGAAACTTATTTTGAAAGAGGTGTCTTCTAGAGTTTGTTTCAAATATAAGTGTTGTATTCCAAACCTGTGCCAAATTTTTTTTTATTTTTAGCTCTATTAAAATTTACTTTCCTTAACAGTTATGTTCATATGTATCTTACATATCAAAAGAAATCAGATGCCTGATTTCTTTCAGATTTTTTCTAACATTATTCTACTAAGAAGTGAAAAAGTAAAATGGTTCTAGATGCTTTGTTGTAGACATTTGTTCGAATAGATTAAATATCTGAACTTTATATGGCAGTATCAAAGTAATTAGAACAAATATACATATTAAAATGACTTCATTTAATTTACGAATATGTACAGCTTATGAGTGAAACATTTTTGCACTCCAAAAGACTTTTGTTTTTTTTTTTTATGTTAATTAGTAAGAGTAATTCTACAAAAAATTAGAAAGAAATTGAGCATTTCCAACCAAGATACTTCTTATTAGTAGAAAAAAATATATTTGATATTTTCTCTTCTCGTATACTTGCTTTTAAAAACTAATTTGATATCATTAAAGGATTGTCTTGTAAATTCATTAATTACTCTAATGCAATGTAAAGGCACTGAATGTTTGTTGTTATTTATATTAAAAATGTAGATTTAGCTGCTATTTTGAAAATAAATCAGATATTAAATTTTAAATCTTACCATTAATTAATAATTATTATTGATTGAATGAATATTGAATATTTGTTATTTATAGTATTTTTCATTTTTCAGGATACTCTGCAGTATCATTTATTGGATGAGTCTATGAAATTGAGTAGAATATTCTCTTTTATGGAAGAAGTAAAGCAAAAATTTTCTTTAGAAGATTATCTCGTTAATGATACTACATTAGAGCAGATTTTCTTAGCATTTGCCAGATCGACTTAGATGATATCGACCTTACAAGTATTTTTTAATAATGTATTCTATCATTATTTATTTAAATGGTAACTTAAAATTAACTAAATGATTTGTTTGAAACATATATATTATAATTATGTATTCATTGCTATGAAACCGTGGTGTCTCTAGGGGTACATATCTGGTGTCACCTGTGACATCATAAGATGTGGATGACACTGAAATGACTAAAATTTTTGCGCAATGTTTCAACAGAAATTTTTTATTTTTAAAAACTATCCCTGTAGTTGCTTATAACAATAAAAACATTGTTTGTATGTAAGCCCAGTTTATGTGTGTCAGTATTAATATAGCTGAATTGTTAAAACACTAAGCTAATTTACTTTTTGAACTTGTCATTATTACCAAATTATAATAAAAAATACAAAAATGTTTTACATTCTATAAATACGATCATAAAAATAAATAAATAAATGTAAATACATGTGGGCCATGCATGCGATATTGTTATTTAAAGGTTTAATTTTAATTTTCTTAGTTGTTTATGCAATTACATTTAGTAATATGTAGGAAATATTGTGGTGATGCAGGTTAATGAAAACCACATGTTATAAACAATATACATTAAACCATCTTTCATTTAGGAATACAATGACAATATCAATTTATTTTCTCTTCACAGTAACTTACAATATTCTCCTTTCTGTTGCCCGTTCTTAACAGTATTATTTGTTTTCCCAACAATTATGCATCCCGAAGCTAGTGTGCGGAAAATCCGTTTCCATCGTGTTATATTACTAATTAAAACTAAATTATTTTAGATTAATACTAGTACTAATATAATTACAGAAGGAAGGAAAATTAAGTTGCTTACGATATTGAATCAATTTGAATCAAAACCAAAACATATACAGGATCATCCATAATAATAATGAAAAATGTGCCTAAAAATCAAGAAAAGGAAATTGAACCAGCATAGCCAACAAATGCGGTGGAGACAGAATAATAGAAAATTACCACAACCACAAAGAAGACAGAAAGACTATTCACAAGGTTTTTACCAGATTTGTTTAGTATTGTTGCGTTACTGTCCTAGTGATAATTTAAAATCANAAATTCGTACGATAAAAGATCACTTTTTTCTGGTTTGTATTTGAATTAGGAAAACCTGGAATATATTCGAATTGTACAGTCCCCCTATAACACTGTTGATTTTTCCGTTTTATATGAATTCCATGTTGTACGAGTCACTTAGATTTTACAAATACCTGAGCCGTTTACAGCCCCGCACACGTATTTATAAAATCTAAATGACTCGTACAACATGGAATTCATATAAAATGGAAAAATCAACAGTGTTATAAAGGGATTTAATTAAATTATCGATCGGTAACAGATGGAAAATTTCTACGAAGGATATTATCACGGATATTATTATCGATTGATCTTTCTTTCTTTTTTTTTTTTTTTGAGTGCACCACTCTGGAGTGAGTATTACACTAAATCAATAATTACATACATAAAATGACAAGAGGTAGGTAAGAAAATGAACAATGCACATACAATATTAAACGTGGTTAGCTAATACCGGAATTTGAACAAGCAGTTAACTGTTTTTTCTTTAAAATATATTTAATAAAAATAGTGAAATAAACACACAGTTCCTTGGACACAAGAATATGGACTGGACAGGGCCAGCCATATCCCAAGGACAGAACTTCCGGCATTAGCCTGAAGTGTTCAACTACATAGATATGAATTCGTAAATTATGTGTTTTACAGTCCAAATTACATGCTGCTAGATAGCAGTTAAAATTACCATGTCCAGTTAGTATCTGAGAAAAGAAATAGGAAAAATTTTTAATTGGATTCTTGAGAAAATCATAAACTGATGGGTAGAACATCTTGGTGACATTTCCTTTAGTCGAAGAAGTCCATGACTGGTTCCATGCAGAGATAAGATGGTCATAAATTATCCTCATCAGGACATTTCTAGAATAAGGCTGTAAAGTCAGGTAAGTTTTCATCTTTAGAAGCATCTTTTGCTGCAGCATCTGCCATCTCATTACCCATCATGCCTACATGTCCCGGGACTTAGAAGAATTTAAAGCATTTCAAACTTAAGCTTATGGTTTCTTGAATACTTCTAATCCAACTACTTCGAAAGTCAATATTCATAAGAAAGGTCAAAGGAGCTTTATAGTCACTAAAAATTGAAATAACTTTGAATCAGTCAGGAAGTGTCAAACTCTATCGAACTGCCTGATGGATTGCAGCTAATTCGGCTTGATATATAGTGGTAGCCTGATTGTAATGCTGCCTAAAAATATGCCGAGGGTTCTCATGTTCTCAGTTCAGATGAGTATATACACATACACTTGAGCCAGCACCAAGCTTGGACTTAGAACCGTCTGTGAACATGTAAATGTCATTCAGAATAGCAAGCCCAGGAATAGGAATAGGATCAAGAGACACATCAGGCAGGTTGAAATCAGCTGGATGCAAAGAGCCATTGTGAACAACCTACTCGGGAATAAGTTGATACGAGTCCTCCAAAGGAGACTGTGGAAAGTGCTGACACAACCTGTCCTTACATAATACTGGAGCACCTTAGCCTGCAGGGCCAGGGGCCAAGGAAGAACACCTGCCAGAACTGTCAGAGCATCCATAGATACAGTTCTATAGCAACAAACTTTTTCAATAGAAAAAGACGTTGCACACTAAGAAGTTTAGAAGCGTAGGAGGTTTTGTAGGAAACATGAGCCTAACAAGAAGCTGCATAAAACACTAGCGGTCGGATAGCTCCGTTGATTAAAGTTGAGACAGCTGCAGAAGTTAAGGCCCAGGTACAACCTTGCACATCTCATGAGTCGATTACCAAATTGTTTGACCCGAGCCAAAATGTACTCTAGATGGTTTTTGTAGGTTAACTTAGTATCAAGATAGACACCCAAGTACTTGTTGGTGCTGACCCAGTTAATAATCATATTATTGAGTTTGATGGGAACAAATAGACTACTTATATTTAGAGGTAAAGAGCATCCATCCCTACAGTTTTGTTTGTGCTAAATAAAAGTTGTTTTCTTGTGCTCTAGCAGACGAGACTATCCGAGCATCTCGGTTCATCGTCCCAACAACGATGTTGATACGTTGAATAGTTTAATTAGCAAAGCAGTTTCGAAATCCCTAACTGATAGTGTCTCTCGTATTTAACAGGAGATTTCCGAGAAGGTCGTCTCTCTCATTGATAGCAAAGTCAACAAAATATTGGACACTGCAAAAAACACTACTCCGACTAGCTTATCGACCTCCTATGCTGGTGTTGCTGTTAGGGTTAAATACAAAGGCTGGCAGCTACATAATGGCGGCGGCCATAAACTCAGTAAAAACAGTAACAGATAGGTTACAAATCGGATACTCGAACATATTATATATAATATATATGCCATAACCTCTTATATAATTTTTAAATTACTGTACATCATCTTACATTTATTTAAGAGCAAGAAAAATGTGTAAAATTTTAAATATTTTAGCCATTTTCGCAAACTTTCATCGACCCCGTCTGGAAACCGGAATTAATATAATAGAATGTATTTAACAAAATATTTTAATTTTAGAATTAATAAATCACAGGAGGGACAATTGTACTTATCAACAGTTTATAATAAATTCGCACAAATTTTATTTTGTACTCGACTTTTTAAACGAAACGCCAAAACATTTGTTGCTTTGAACATCAAACAAAGCTGAATAAAATCACTAAACAACGGTAAGCGGTCGTGGGTTCGAGCACCGTCAATGGGTCGGATACGTGCAGTTTTCTGTTTTCATCACTTGCGTTAATTTTTTTCTCGTTGTTTTATTAGCAAGTAAACAATTTTGCCATTAAAAAAATAAAGCATCAGGGCGCTACCCTGGCACAACTACAGCGCTGGTATTATTGCTTACGTATTTACTGCAATCTTGAGACTAACAAAACGAGTTTCAGATCTAAATCGAAATAAATAAATAAATAACATTTTTGGAAAATACACTTAAATTGTAATGTATTTAGCGAAAAATCAAATTTGTAAGTTCGTAAAGAAGTTTGTATACGGTGAAACCTCTTAACAACGGCCACGGACTTTAGAAAATGGACGTTATTTGGAGGTGTTTTTCTTACGCATCTTTGCAACAGATGGCACTACACGCATTTTAATTGTTACCGGAAAAGTTACAACTCGTTGCTGGATTTATATATATATATAGTAAAAGGAATTCGAATAAAAAGGAAACCTGCCTAAAGGGAAAAATTCTGAAGGGAGATATTTTCTACGTTAAAAAAGAACCTGTTCATAACAGACCGGAAAAGATATTCGATACCCTGTGATACCGGTTTATACAGATTTTACTGTATAATATTTTAAAAAATAATTATAAAAATATAATATAATTTTAAAAAACAACAAGAAAATTTTCTAGTTATAGATAAAAATGATAACTTTGATACTTTGCACCCGGTATCTTAGCATATTTGATAATTTCGTTTATTTATACTTACCCAATCGATATAAAATGTCAAAAACTAATTAATATTAAACACTGCCGCTAACGCTTTTATCTTGATATTTAAAAAGCTTCTCTCTGTCTACTCATCAAACATTGTATAAATTACATAAAATACAGTATTATCTTTTATTCTACAACTTTAGTATAAATTTATAACACAATATATCCAGTAACCAATGTCCTTAACACCTAAGTAGAAACCACTTTCCCATTGAAAGCATCCACTGACAGATCATCCCAGAGTTGTGTTTTCTTATTCCATCAATTACCATTCTTTTAAGTAAATTTTAAGTGGTGACAGAAATAATTTAACGTTTTACGTTAAACTATTATATTTGAATTTTACACCACTACTATTGTAATATCCTGAAATTAATTAAACACCTCTAAAACTAAAAAAAAAAAAAAAATTGATGAAGTATGAGGAAAACATGAGAATTATTTAATAAAAGTAGTAATAAAAATATTACAAAGAGGGGAAGCAAAGGGAATTAATTAAATTATCGATCGGTAACAGATGGAAAATTTCTACGAAGGATATTATCACGGATATTATTATCGATTGATTAATTAATAATACTTGTCGATTGATTAAAATAATCTAATTAATATAAGGGAGGATTTTTAATAATTTATTTGCTACCTTTTTCCTAGTTTCCCGTAGAAAAGCCCTCCTTGGTTGATAGTTCTGGTATTGTATTGCCTTATCCCAGTGTTTTTCAGCATTTTTTTTAATAGTGTCACCACCTGTTTGATATTTTTCGAATGCCACTCCGACATCTTTATCAATGTAGAGAGTAACAGCGCGTTTAGTACTTTTAATGGTACACGCAAGAAGTATTATGGAGCTGCTCAGTACTATATACTTCGAGTGGATAAAACCACTGAACACTGGTAGTTTTTCGCCACCTTTTTGCTGCTGTAAGAACTGGCTAGAATGACTAGTCGCGTGTTGTTTTCCGGATTTTCTTCACGTGTGTAACACCTAAATTAAAATCAGTTTCCCATAGAAAATCTCCGGGTGGCACTTATTCCTGGTAAATCGCAGTTCTGAATAGACACAGTAGGACCGGATTTACTGTGCCTATTTTCGCAATATGAAATACTATGAGCCGGAAACTGGTCTAACGCGGAAACAAAAGACCTTTTGGGAATTATTCACATAATATTATCTGAGTAAGTCCGAAACTTTCGATGTCACAACAGCTCAATTCTAAATCGCAATTAGCCTAAGTACTGTATCAAAGGGTTTGGATTACGGTCAACTTCTCTAATATTAACAACTATTAATATCAACTATAATATTGTTTAATATATATATATATATAATATAATATTGTTATATTATATATAATATACGTGGTATATGCCATAACTTCTTATATAATTTTTAAAAGACATTCTACATTTATTTAAGAGCAAGAAAAAGGTGTAAAATTTTAAATATTTCTTTTTATTTGCAAAGTTTTAGCCATTCCCTCAAACTTTTATCGACCCCGTCTGGAAACCGGAATTAATATAATAGAATTTAT